AGGTACTCAGAGAAATGTAGTAGTTCAAAAGTATTGTTTACGGAAGAATATAAACGTGGATTGACTGACATAAAAGATAATATTGCTTGGAAATTTACATCCTACTCGTAGTGAAGCTAAGGGTATGATGAGCAGCAATTCAATAATATTGAGTATGCTAACATTGCTACCGTTATAGTTATTGCAGTGTTTTCAATGTCCTCCAATTTTATAAATGTACACGTTATAAAAAAGCTTGCTCATGAGTCGTGTGAGAGTTCCTGTGCTTTCATCTCTCATATCTCATTAACATAGGTATAAATACTAGTATCCTTGAACATTGAACTGTGCTGTTTCAACTATTTTCTTGTTTTATAGAGTTGAGATCATGAGTCAATTGAAGCTAGACCACCATGAAAAACCTGGAAGCACTGGATGCCGGCTCAGCGGTCTATCGATTAAGGACTCTAGCTCGAGACTAGTAGGTTCTGGGTTCGAATCTCGCGAGTGCGGGATCGTGGATGCGCACTGCTGAGGAGTCCCATAATAGGACGAAACGGCCGTCCAGTTCTTGTAGGTTTTCAATGGTGTTCTAGCTTCAATTGACTCATGATCTCAACTCCATAAAATTACTAAAATCTCCACAAAACCCCTTCTGATATTTTCTTGTTTGTTGAATTCAATGTTATTTTCTTGATATGAACAGAATAATCAAGTTCTAAACTACTCACGCCGTAGCATGTTTATTGACATTATTGAATTTTGTAGCTAGCACCATGGCATAAGTTAAACGATGAGAAAAAAGTCAAAAACATCTTCATAATGATACAGAAAGATTCATGAATATTCCTAAACTCCACAACCAGGAAACAAACCTAGATGCTTCAATTCTCGTGTTCGAAGATTTACATTTAGACCACCAAGCTGGGAACAAAAGATTCTAATCACCAATTCCAATCAATTAGCATAAAGATGCTGTGTACTTCAAATGTCATTTGCACAAAACAGTCAATCAATTAATATTCTGGCTAATAAAAAACAATTCATCATCATAGTATCGATGGTTTGTGGTATATGCGTAAAATCTCGAAAGGATTAAAATTACTCATGATAGTCAGTGAGTGGTAACTCAAAAGTGGAGTTACTTGGTGCTTGAGGTGAAACATGAAATTTCTGAGTTCAACCCTTGGTCGATTCACATATGCGCTATACTGAGCTGTTATTCACTTGGACGGAATAACTTTTAAGTGGTTCCTGGTTCTCAAATGGTTGGTTAATCCACAACAGTCATAGATGTTAATCATAATGGCAAGACATCTATGTTGGAACGTGAGCTAGGTATAAGTCACAGAAAACCTGAAAATTCATTGAAATTCGACCCGTCTAAAGAAATCCCCATATATGGTGATACTTCAGAAATCATACTTTCAGTATTGTTTATGATCATTAGATTTGGAAAGATAAGAAATTGGCATACTATCAAGAAAAAGAATCATTTATTCAGACATCTGCTAGCAGACTTATCATAATGAGATAGGTATATTGAATAAACCTTTATCTAATATGCTGTCTACAATGGTCGGTGTTCATTGATGATGGCCTTTAGTGAAGAATATTTTGCTAAATTATTATCAAATGACCTATTGATACAAAAAAAATGTTTACAATTACGAACAATCTGGTTTTTTTTGTGGTGGTCAACAACAACAAATATTATGTTTCAGAAGAGTAACATATTGTGTTAGCCAAATAAGATGACATTGTATAAAGGAGCTTTTTCATTCTAGTATGTGTTTCGTCAGTAGAATACGTCTGTGACTCCAAAGAAGGTCGAACATAGAACCTACATGTCTCAACACAAACGACTAATAATTCCATTATTCAGACGATATTCAATAGTCAAAACAATTCCAATCGAAGAACGATTGTTTGGTTGCAGAAAAAGACTCATCATTCCTGGTGTGTATATTCGATGCTCTATTAGATTACTCATTTTATAAACTTGTAGTTACCTGCTTTTCCCGACGATAACACGACTGGAATAATGAAAACTATTATCATTATTATTACTACTATTATTATTATTATAACCAATAGTACCAGTGATTGTTTTATCATACTCGTTTTTGTTTAACTGTATCAAAGTCACTTTTCGTACGGTCATCCGCCTTGTTTGGTTCAAACTTTCTTACGCTCTGTCCTTATTGCCTGTAATCTTTGGCACGTCTCGGTATTCTTTTGATATCACGAGATCGACTAATTATAGTCTTCTGGTTTGTGAGTTATTGAGGGAACCAAGTCGTTTTTTGGGCGCGTAATCTCATTGTAGTGGTGGTCATAGTCAAACGTGCCTCGACTCCATCTGCAAACTGAAACACTTCGATTTTCTCATCAATGATTTATCTGTAGGCGGATCCTTACCTTACTTGACTACTGACCAAAATGAGAACACGATTTGGACAAGTATGTAATTAAATTCCAAGTTGAATGAGAGTAAGTCACATTAAGAACAACACTACTATATAAAAGTTTTTACCCGAGAACATTCTACAATCTTCAACAATTATTCTTTATCGTTGATTGAAGTAAGAACGGGTCAGTCAAGATAACCCTGAATGAGAAAAACATGCTTTAATCCACTCTATGTCCTGTTAATAGGCATATTCCGTGTAACTAATCTGTTCAGCTGACAAAAGTCATCACTCACATTCGTTTATTGATTAGACCAATTCAAAACCAATCAAAATATGAGGAAGTTTCGAGTACTTGTATACTTCAAACAAAAATCATCCAACGAAATGTTATACTTCCTTGTTTGCATTACGATTGACTTGGTGTTTTGTAAGTAGTTAAGATGAGATGTTTCATCAGAATAGTTGTGTATAATACAATTCAATAAATATATTGAAACCATTGACCATGGTACAAACTGCTTATTAATTGAAATGAAAATAATCATACTTAATCATAATGTTCTTAGCATTTGAGATTCAGTAGTCATTGAAATAGCGAGTCAATGTCTGTAGCAGATACTTTTGGACTCGGACCTCAGTATGAAGGCTAACACTTGAATAAAGATACAGTTAGCTGGTTTAACCCTTGTTCAAAACTCATCAAACATGTCATATAACTATGTTCCACTCATCACAATAATTTGATGGGAAACAAATGAACTTGACTTACTTCCCAGCTCACTGAGCTAAGATCATTTATATTATCTGTTCTTTGCAGTGTAATTTCTGCAACGGTCTATAAGCTTAGACCAATGAATTTACCTGAATTCTTCGTCTCCAGACGAGTGCTGTGAGCTTGCTCAACCCCGTCCACATCATGATAGATATTTTTGGAGGTTCTTAATTATTTTAATGACATATTATTCATGACATCTTAATGCTTTTCAAACATTCGTCAACTATTTCAGTCATACGATATCAAGAGACTGTTTGTTTTGCAATGAAAGAATTGTATTTTTGAAATAAAAATATCCATCTACGAAACTTCTATCATGTACACAATTCTATAATTCAGTCGGTCAGTTACAACGTAGAACTTCGTACATACGTACGTACATCAGTTCCAGTTGCCATACCATACTATCACAGAAATGCAGTTGTCCATTCAAATCCAATAGTAGTAGAGGTAGGAAGAGTATAAGCGGTAGTCGGAAAGATTAGGGTTTGAAAATGTTATTCAAGAAGTATAATCCAGTGAAATAAATTTGAAAAGAGAAAAAGATAGGAACATGAAGAATTAAAAAGATTAGAATTTAGGAGAACACAAAGATTGGATTCATCTTCGCCATTACAAACGATTTTGAGCCATGTCATTCAAGGTCTCTAATCATCATTTGTTATTATCTCTCGGATCCCAACCAGGTAGTCTACACCTAACAACATGGCTCAGTCCACTTGTCGTTGAATTCATGGATTTGTGCCACGTTTTGGTCTGGTCACCCCTAGTTTTCTTCCAACCTTCTTCTACACCATAAAACATTGCTTATCGGGGCTATCGGTAGTTGGGCATATGTAACACGTGTCCCAGCCATCTCAACTGGTCAAGTTTCACTACTTCATCGATCGATTAGCTGTTCTTAACTAGTACTTGTTTCTTAACAATTACATTACTTTCTCCATGGTTCCAGGGTATACGAGCAATGCTTCGAAGACACCTGGCAGCAACGGTTGGACAATTCTATAATTGATCAACATTCAAGTTGTCTACAAAATGAGTTGTATTTAATCACATTCAATAAATCATATAATGCACACATATACAAATTCATATTTTCATCCAACACATTTTGTGATGCTTTGAGATTATGCGATAGGAACTATGTTTGACAAAATGAAAACTTTATGCCATAAGTCATTTCACTATTAATGAAGACTGTCAATTATTTCGTCATTAAAAAAACATACTACTCTGTATGAATTATAGTAGTATCCGTTGCTTAATAACAAATATCATTGCAATGATTGACGACAAATGGAATCGATTCGCTTTCATTCAAAGACGTAAGTGGAAAGTACTGGATAATCAAGGAACGTTACAAATGATAAACAAAAATACTTTAGGTCTCGTGAATAAAAGAGTCGCTTGAGAACCATTATTTCTAGATAAGAAACTTAGACTAAACCACCTATAACTGAGAACAATAGCTCATTATTACCATCTATTACTATGGACATAAATGATACAGATTCCAAGCAAACGTGAAAAGCATTGGTTGTTCCAAGCTCATATAGAATAGATAAATAGTGGCTTGGAATGCTATCTAAGAGACGCGTTTCTCTCTCTTTGAGAGTAATTAAATGGATGTATAGAGATCCAAAAATTGATGTTTACTTTAGAGTTTAAACTCGAAACCCTTAACTTCAAAGGTCATTCTATTATCCAATTACCTCATGAGTCTGGTTACTCAGTCACTTGTGCAATGATTATGAATTTTAGGTTAATTTTGTGAATGCTCACTGCTGAGCAGTCCCACAATAAGACGAAACGGCCAGGTTTTCCATAGTGATCTAGCTTCAATTGACTCATGATCTTAACTATATAAAAATACTAAAATCTCCACAACACCCCCTTCTGATAATTTTGTAAATGTTTAAATCATTTCCTACCTTCTTAAAAGATATTCATATTGTTCAAATGTGACAAACAGTACGTAACATTTATTAGAAAAGTGAAACCGCCTGTCATCAGCAAACGTATCATCAGGCCGTTATTTAAATGTGACTACACAATTCCTAAGCAACTCAGAAATTGTATTATACTAATTCATCTAAGCAATACATTTTAATTGACGAACCAAAAACATAACGATGATGATGATGATGATGATGATGATGATGATGATGATGATGATGATGATGATGATGATGATGATGATGATGATGATGATGATGATGATGATGATGATGATGATGATGATGATGATGATGATGATGATGATGATGATGATGATGATGATGATGATGATGATGATGATGATGATGATGATGATGATGATGATGATGATGATGATGATGATGATGATGATGATGATGATGATGATGATGATGATGATGATGATGATGATGATGATGATGATGATGATGATGATGATGATGATGATGATGATGATGATGATGATGATGATGATGATGATGATGATGATGATGATGATGATGATGATGATGATGATGATGATGATGATGATGATGATGATGATGATGATGATGATGATGATGATGATGATGATGATGATGATGATGATGATGATGATGATGATGATGATGATGATGATGATGATGATGATGATGATGATGATGATGATGATGATGATGATGATGATGATGATGATGATGATGATGATGATGATGAGGAGGAGGAGGAGGAGGAGGAAGAAGAGTAAGATAAAAATCCTAATTAACCCATCATTGGAGAACAAGAAAACTTCTGTACGAAGTTGTCTTTTTTCTTTATTATTCTTCATTTCAATACATCGAATTAGTTTTTTCATCGTTCCATTTATAAGTAGTATAATTTTAAATAAGCTAATTTTCTTAGATATCGTTTATATTCAGTAGTTGTATTCAACTAAAAGTAAACAAATTGGTTGATTGATTATTATTATCAGTAACTTACTTTATCTGTATTCATTAATATTGTACTTTGTTGTTCAATTTTAGGCAAATTCATTGGATGTAACATTGTATCCATTTGCCATTGTACATGTTGACCAGATTGTTTTGTCACATTGTAGGTACCAACACTAATCAAAATGGAATGAAAAAAAAAAGAAAACTAACATTAACAATCAAAAAGTGTTTGAATAAACAAGTAAACAAACAAACATGAGTGAATGATAAGCAAAGTTGGATAATGTCTAACATTGGAATTCAAGAATCGCGTTTCGTCTTATTTGGGACTCATCAGTTTCATGTACCTGTAACTCAGAGTTGATGTTTACTCTAGGAATCAAACCCAGTATTGTTCGCTTCAAGAGCCATCGCTTTATCCATTTAGCTAATGAGTCCATCTTTGCTTATAATGCTTGTGAATTATGGCTATATCGAGTCTATACGCACATTATGCACATATGGTCAATAAGAGACTGATCCATTGCTCTTAATGTGACTTATTCTTATTCAACTTAATTTATTTGGAATATAATTGCATACTTATCCAAATCACGTTCTCATTTTGATCACTAGCTGAGTAAGGTAAATTATCCAAAGAATACTAATCAGTAAGTGTATTTGGGTCGGATTACTAAAGACTTAATTAGGCTTATATTCGTACTGCCTCTACCATTATGGGATTCGAATCGACAACTGCATCTGTGTGCTAATGTGGTATGGCAACTCAAACTGATGTACCTACGTGCGAAGTTCTACGTCGTGACTGACTGACTTGTATCTTACTTATTATGTCACTTACCCGTAGAATGTAATCTATTAAGTGTATTTGACAAAATCACCTCCATCACTAGAAACGTCTTCCTCCACGCACTCACCTAAATGATTGTTGAACATGTCAGTAAAATACTGGTAATAATCATTCTGAAATGTAGAAGTCCAACTCATTATTGTTGAATTTTGAACCACCTTAATCATCTACATCGAATCGTCAGTTTAGTCAGAATAACAATTACAGTGTTTAAACGTCACTGAATAAACGCTGGAGTTTCATTAGAGTATAATTCATATTGTCAACCAAGAATCTCTTTTGATATAAGTTCTTTGTGGAAAAATCAAAGTGTTTTAGTTTATACAAAGATGAAGACTGTGTAATAGTACATTTTAAACAACAATGAATCGGTTAATATTTCATCGAATATACACACCACGAATGATAAATCTCATTCTGCAATAAACGAGTTGATCTTCGACTGAAAGTGTTATGATTATTGAATATCGTCTGAAGAATCGAACTGTTGGTCGTTGGAATTTGAACAGGAAGATTTTTTGTTCGACTTTCTTTGAAGTCACAGATGTGTTCTACTGATGAAACACATACTAGGACGAAATAGCTCTGTTAAACGACATCACCTCATTCGGTTATTACAACACATCATTCATATCTGACCAACCTCACATGTCAGAATATGCTAACTTCAATACATAATATTGACTATAAAGTAGTACGGGATAGGATTATGTTATTCAGAACATGTCTTTGTTTGAAGTTTCTTTGTAATAATAAAGATACCGTTCATACTAGTAAATCATTTGTTTTACTTACCCAACAATTGATTCATCAATAAGTGATTTATCTGTTCTATATGTAGATTGATTAAATGGTTTTTTATTTGGTCTGACCGATGAAGTTTTGTTCACAAAATCTTGATAAGCTCCAGGATCTGGAAAATCTGAATTCTACAATTGGAAATAAAATAAATAAAAACCACCTTTATTAAAACTTTACAATGAACAAAAAACTACTTTTGATAAAAGTCAATTATGCAGTGTTAATAAAAGAAGTGTCAATAGACTGAAAAGAAGGATACCTCATCAAGATACCAAAGAAAGGAGATCTGAGTAAATGTGAGAATCACAGTGGCATCAGTTTGTTGTCAGTACCAGGAAACGTTTTCAATAGATTGCTGAGCTGGATGAAAGATGCAGTAGACGTCCAACTTCGGGATCAATGGGCTGATGCATGGCCTATGCTCCTTCAACACGTGTATTTGTTCTTCAATAACCAATCTCATTCCTAATTGTGTTTCACATATAGGTTGAACCGAAATTTCACAAAAATTTTAGCAACTCATTGTTTCATAAACGATAAGGTCATAATATGTTTTTTTAGGTCTTCTATAACTTGATCTATTGAATAATGTGTGCATTTTCCTTCTAGTTATAATTCTACATTATCGATCAAGCCACCTACATTATTTCAATACCATTTATTTTCTGTGAGTTATTACCTTGCAAGTATACGTCAAATTTAAGCGATCAAATATAAGGTTCACATGGTAAGTGATGGCCTTAGAATATGAGTTTTATGGGATGATTACTTTGTTCAATCTCTTGAACACAAGTGAGTCGGAGTTTGAACCTCCTGTCAACTTTGCTCGAATTTTGCATTTAAAACACTAAGCAAAAGAATAATGCCAAGCAGTCATAAATAGTTATACGAGGCAATATTTCCTCTCTCTTCCTTGTGGATTATCCACACGTGCAAGGAGGTTTCAAACATGATACAATGTGTTTAAACAAACCAAGCTAAAACGTAGCAAATAATCATTTTGAATTTACCAGCCTAATTCAAATAAAGTACAATATCGACAACATTTTAAAATATAAACCACACAATGAAATAATACTCAAATGGCGTTAAAGTTCTTTGGTAATCACTATTCTCCTGTGATAAGAACACAATATCGTTACATATTTTGATAAATTTGGCAGGATAACTGTGTTCCGTTTACATTTCACATGTTTTACAAATGATTTATCTTAGAATTCGAATTTATGTCTTACCAATACGCCAGTCTCATCTCATTATATTTCATATCTAGTAATGTCAATGAAGTCTTGATTCAAACAGTGATACACAAGATATATTTGCACTTACTGTCAAATAGTCCTTTTGCCATAGAATCTCACTGAGATAGTTTTCATCCTCAGAGACAGTTTATTACTATATGCCACTACATTAATAATGCTTTGAGAATAATCTTACTTGAGTCGTGTATAACTGTTTTTTTAACTGATTGTTAGGAAACACCCTAAGCGATAAAGTCCATCACTAAAATCATTTCGACTAATTAGTCCGCAAATTAGAGTTATACGTCTTTTTGCTTATGTGACATTCGATCATAAATCCTCAAATTTCATTTCAACACTTCGTTCATGTATAACTGGTGTTAAGACTGAAGGATTTTAGTAATCTATAAAAACAATTACAATCTGGCTAGATTATCAATCTCTGTTATCCATTAATCGGTCTTTAATATCTTCATTAGTTAAAGTTGCGTGTCGCCAAAAATTGGCTGCTATGAGGTTACTAATCTGGAACTCAATATTATTTTTCTACCGCTTGATCTCGAGCGCAAACAAAGTTGACTGTTATCACCAACATTGATCTTTTCATTAGTGTCTGGAAATAAAAGAGTAAAGTGCAAAGCTAAAAGGTCACAACAATCACATTTGATTCCTAAGTGTATATAATATTTTGTGAATTCGATACTTACGGATAAGTAGTTATTCATTCTACGCGCTGTTCTAGCTCCTAGTGTATACCCACGAGTACTGATACTCTTCTTATTGAATTCGCTAATGTCTGGAGTCTACAACACACCCAATTTAAATACTCTCGACTTAATAAATTCACTTGGATATCATAGGTTGTCGGTCCAACAAATTCATTCCCATTTATCGATGCCAGTGTTACGCCAAGACGATGATGAGGTATAGATTCTGGATACAAAGAGCGTTCCTGACATGAACCGAATGCATATGGCGTTTTTCTTTCCGATAGAACTGCTACAATCAAAAAGAGTGTTATACTATAGAACGATGCACGTAAATAAATGGTTGTCTAGTTTCTTCTGATATATGGTGAGTCGATAACAACACCTGGCAAACGCACGAGTTGACACTGTTACAATCGTGATTTGTTTAGTAACGAACTTTTCATAGTATATTCTCATTTTTTATGCCAACCACAACACAAAAACTTCGAAAACTCGTAAAGCAGTCCATAAACCAGGAATTGAGTTTTATTTAGTTTGAGACGGGCTCGCGATCAAATCCTCAACGAGTAGTTTGTTTTTCTCACTTGATTACCACAAGTTCTCAAGCTGCATTAGTCTAAAACAAATTAGATAAGCTGACAAGATTCGAGCTTCAAATCAGATCAAGGTAACTTGGCCTTCTTTCTTCACAAACAAACCATAAGAGTGACTAGGAAGCTAAAAATCAAACTAATAAGAAGTAACGTATATAAATAGCAAAAAAAAGCACGATATTATTTGAGGGACATTAAGATACAGAGAGTGATTGGCGAAATAGCTCCCCTATGTATGCACTTATTCATCGTCTCTCCTGGAACAGATCATTTCGTCATATCGTGACCTTTTCAATACTCTAATGTTTAAATTAGTTACTGAAGGATGTATGATTCGATGTCTATTGTTATGAAACTGTAAATAAACACGCATTCCTTAGCTTGTTGTAATTTTTCAGGCAACACGATTCTGTCTGGTTGTCCTTCCAAGTGTGCATGGAGCGCTTTTTTACAACCCTTGAAATTGGACTCTTGAGTTTAGCTTTCTATAGACAGGTGACTTGGCAGTCTCTCTCCAATCCCCAGGAATTTCATGGAAAATTAGGTTTTTTAGAGATACGTATGAGCATCCACTACAGTTTATGGTCAGTAAGAAGGACTGCTGGAGTAAAGCACAATTTTCTGACCATCTCACGTACTGTGATTCTAATTATTTGTGAGTTTGTGCACATAAACAAACGTACTCGAGTGCAATGTAATACGCGTTCGTCGACACTGAAAGTAATTAACTTCTAGTGTCTGTCAAAGCTTAAAAGAGGACACACGAAAAAACGAAAAACAACACAGTGGTTGGGAAAAGTTCCTTGTTTACCTTTAATTTTCTCAATTGCAGCTTGTTTGTCAAAGTAATTCATAATGTGTCCGACCTTGGAAGTCATGACGACCAATCAGCGACGTCCAATTAACAACAAATTTAGACTTCAGAAGTAAGTACAGGAATGCGATTAAGCCATGTATCCCCAAAATCAATTGCTCTGTGAGTGTCCGATATTGGATGCTGACCACATTAGTTTTAATGGACGCACGTAGCTGAAGGCACTCAGTCATATATCCTCAGTAGATCACGAGTAGGAACTTCTCTTGCGATCGCTAGTCAGCTAGATCAGTCACTTATCGATATGTTGATAATGCATCAAATATATCTTCCAACATCCTCGCTTTGGCTTTTGATTTCACCAAAGGGGGGCACGATCCCATTATGGAAGGAGTTATTGGTTAAAGTGTTGTCAAACTACCATACCTGTGGCATCTTCATTGGTGAGCCCGACGTGTTCTCATACACCGACCCATAAATTGTGAGTCTGTTCCTTTTTTGAACTTCATAAATCACTGATATACTGTATTATTTTACATCTTTTGATACTTTTTCCGTATTATTGAATACTTTTTCCCTGGTTAAATCCTATACTTTAAACTCACAATGACAGAACAAACTCCTAAGTTACTTAAGGTCAAGACTTTTACACAACTCTCGTTCCAACTAATGTCTTTTTGGCCGGAAAATATCGAAGCTTGTTGCCAGTAACGGTTACTTTATTTAGTTACTCACGCCTGTGACTCTTCATAGAGGCCGCTCACAAGAACTTTCCACCTAATTCTGTCCTGGGCAATACTTTCCGCTTGTTTTTAATTGCTATTCACCCCTTTCTTGTCTGCTTCCGATTCCTGACATAGTATGGCCTTTGATCTTCCTCTTTTCCGTTTCTTTTCAGGATACCAAGTTGGCGCTCTTCGTGTGATGCAGTTTGTTAATTTCCTTAATATATGCTTTATCTATACACAACCAACTTTTGATAGTCCAACCCCCTATCAGGAGGTCCACTAATCGAATTAGAATACACAGATGACATAGTCCTGTGCGGTGAAGACGCTACGGCTGCGAAACATGGCCATGAAGAGTGGAAGATACTCGCAAGTTACTAATATTTGACCACAAAAGTCTTAGAAATATTGTTCGCATCCGCTGGGATCACCAGGTAAGCAATAGTGAGGTTAACCATACAGAGTATAAGGGAGTGATGGTAAATTAGTTGATGAGGTCATAAATCTTCATCTACTGAGATGGCTGAGCCACGTGGCCCGTATGCCTGAATACCGATTACCACGACGCGCAATGCTGACTAATGTAGGGGATGGTTGGGAAAGAGTTAGGGGCGGCCCAACCGAAACGTGGAATCAGAGTATGAAGTCACTAACTTCTAATCTGAGACATGTTGGTAGGTGCAGAGTACTTGATTGGGGTCCGCGTGATTGTCGTAACCAATGGCTGGAGACCAAGTGACATGGCTAAGAATCGATCACAATGGTATAGGTGTATACACTCTTTATCTTCCCTTAAGCCTTGAGATTAAAATTACTTCATAGCTTTTTCCTTCCTATACTATATCCTTACATACAACCTATCTTTTATATACTACCACCACTAAATAACTACTTCTATGAACTCAGTGTTCTTGTTGTTCCAATGAGGTATGACAACTTGGACCAATGCATATCTGTGCCTGTTCCTACGTTGTAGCTGACTGACTGACTGGTGCTGTTTCTGACGTTATCCGGTCATTGAACATTCAGTAGGTTCCGTAGATAATTGTTTATAAAAACTTGTACATTTTTGATGATCCTTGTGGTATCTTTCAAAGTTTTAGCTCTTTACAATAGAGATGTCTTGACGTTGGTATAAAAATTTCAGACTTTTATATTTATTAACAGTATCAATACAACAAGAAGTAATAATAATATTGATATTGACTTCATTCAACAATTCATATCTATGTATGTAATGTTTATCGAACGGCATTTCTACTCTTCTAAGGATATAAATATATACATTTATCCGCGAAATTTTTATACTAAACAATTTATAATTTAACAAAATATTTGTTTAAAAGAGAAAATATCAATAGAATATTGAATGATCAATTGGTTCAACAATACGAGTTTTTTTATTAATTGCTTAAAATATGTACATTTGCATGAATTGTCTCATTCTTTTAAAAGGGGGAATCAAAGTTAAAGAAATGTGCACAAAATAGGATATTTGGTAGAATAATTCTTTTCAGGAGTTTGTAATTATCTATCTGTCATCACTTTCATACTGGGACTAAAAACAATTCACAACGAAATCTTTCTTCCAAAATGTAGAAACAGTTAACGAATTTAGATATTACATTAAAATTAGCAGATCTTGAAGGTAAATGTTGATGAATATCAAAACATATAGCTTCTTCACATATATCAGAGAAAATATTTCTTTAACATTAATAGAATATACGATGAATAAGAGAGATAAGAAAAAACTGTAAACATGAAGAAAAATTACATTTGACATAGTCCGAGTTAGAAGCTCTTCAATTGTGCACACTTTACTTGATTTCAAAAGTGTTCTATGTGTTATTCATGTTTTAAGCTGAGGTCAATCAAACTGTCGTGTTCAAAGATTTGTTCTGGAACCAATGAGACAGATCATCGTTTAGTGAGTGACAAGAATTTTTCTACTTCAATGGTACTTGTGAAGGATGAAATTGGTGTTCATATTATAAGATAATTTGTATGCTTGATGAATTTGATTTTAGTAAAAAAAAATGACAATCTATGTTCAATAAAGGAACGTAATAAACATATCTTTGTACTAATCCAGCTCGTGTCAATGAAAAAATAGAAAACATCACTTCAACGATAGTATGCTGTTCACTTCTGTTTTAACACTTCATTTTTCAAATTTGAATAGGAATGTAGTTTGCCTTTCCATCTTATAACATCAATTACAAATTGTAGTGCGAAATTGAATCTTTTTCATCATTTGACAACTCGACTATTCTTATCTCATACACAAAACTCTATTCTATTCAAAAAGGAAAACTGATAATCTTGAATTCAACGATATTTACTTTACCGTAACTTATTAAAATATGCTCATGAACAATTATTCTCTGTCATTGCGTTTTCCGTTTTAGTGCTGGCTATAACATCATTATAGTTCATTTAATTTACAAGGAGGCCAGCTATGGTATCATCCAGTTGTAACATACCATTTTGATAAATTATATGTTTGTTATATCTCAATGAGTAGAAAAATTAGATTTTCTGACGTTTCGTGACTCAGTGTAAGCCACTTCTTCAGAGAATAAATCTCTGAAGAATAATCTCTAAAGGAGTGGCTTACAGAGTCACGAAACGTCAGAAAATCTATTTTTTCTACTCATTGGGACATAACAAATATGTAATTTATTTAAAACAATCTACCCAATGCTCAATTTATTCAAAAAATGCCATGTTGATATTCTGGAAGCCTCTATCAGGTTCTAGTTAGGTAGGATCTCTTGGGCTTTATAATAGCCTTCGGCGGTCTGTAAAATATTCGAGAAGCCACAAACTCAGTTGTCACTCTTTGATACAGAATTTCATACCGTGTTATTATCATCAGAGGGAGAGTTGTAAGCGCTGTCTATCAGGTTGTAGAATCGCATATGGCTCGAAATAATTATTTATGTTCCAACATCTGGTATCATGTCAAACACTTACGTGTTATTCTACCTTCCAGACAGACCATCTCATTTACTTTCCGAGTCTTATTTTGACTTGGTTATTTAATGTCTTATTGAACCTGACAAATTTTATACGAGCGTGTGTTCATTGCTTACTCTATTCGTCGCATGTCTGTAGCTTATTTCAGTCCAACTACAAATACTGAGTCACGCTTGATCGAGTCGAGTTAATTCTCTCACGCTGTCTTGTTGGCTTTTCTTTCTCGCACTTCAGTCTATCCGGATCAACGGGTGTACAAATCGTAAGCATTCCATATTGCTTGTTTAGTGTCGTTAGTTTTTGACGTAAATACGTTCGAAAACTTTGTACGAGGGTGTTTGAAATGTAAATTTCATTATACCATCACACGATCAAGTTGGAGTCAAAATCAAAAGGCTACAAAGATTTCCATAATAAGTGTCTTTTCAGCCTACGTTGTTACATAGCATTGACATCAAAGACTCAATATACGAAGTGCAGTAGACACATATTTATTTTATTCACTCTGTTACATTCAGATAATCATCTACGCAAAACGAAGTAGATACAGTGTAAAAAGAACATAGTAACCACCCCATATCTCTTGATGGGTATTCATCCACTTTTTAAAAATAAATAAAGTGCACATACTAAGAGGAAAAAGTTCCACTTGCAGAAACCTTAAACTGCATATTTGAAATTATAGTGAAAAAGCAATGTCAAAAGCTCAAGTCAAGAAACAATGATAAAAACGTTAAGAAACGTGCAAAGGTTTGCAAATAAATCTTCTGCAAAATAGATCCCTATTAAACTGGTCAAAATATTCATTAAATGAAAATGAAAATTTCATACAGGAAGAAAACGCAGAATAATTTGTGACTGGTCACAGTAATTTTTGAGTTAGTGAAACTACGTATCCATATGTAGCATTAAAACGCAGATAAAACTCATGAAGGCATTTTGTTCTTTGTTTTGTTTTATCATACCAAAGCTACCTCATTCCCTCGTAGTTGTGGTTTTCAAGGTCATAGAGTCAATGGTCGGTTTCAAAATAGCGAATAACAAGGTTATATTTTGAATGACAAGAATTGTATTATTAATTATCCTTTTGATTGACAATATAATCATAGGGGAAGACATCTACGAACCCTATTCATTATTACTATTTCATTCAATTGGAATTATGTTCCTCATTTAACTTATTATAATTCTTCAACGTCACTTTTATTTAGAAGTGGATTTGTGAAGATTTCAGTATTTTTCAAAGTTGAAATCATGAGTCAATTGAAGCTAGACCATTTTCATTGTTCGAGCGTATTTTTCCATAATTTTTAGTGTTGATCAACACTAAAAGTTACTAAATGTGCTCTAGACGTTTATAATGAAACAAACCTGAGGAGTAGTTTGAAGCATAACCATGATGTATAAACCATATAAAATGATGCACACATGACCACACACTTCATTATTAATCAAGCACAAATAAATTCCCTGAACAGATTTTTAACAACGTAGTCATGTTATACAATATTTTATAGCTCTTGGACGGGAAAATAGCTTTGATGTTAGAAATTTTTGTGGGTTAATACCTATCTCTCAAGTTCTACATAAGCGGAATGAATTTTTTTAAACTAAGTGTGTATCACGTAACTGCAAACCCATCTTTAGCAAGCTTTAAAAATTGGTACAATTGATTTTAAGTTCAATTGGATGAATTTGTAATGCAGCCATAATGTCGTTAATATATAAATCCTTCTAGTGCGAATTTGAACTCCTGTGGTTCCTGTGAATTTCATTTGTAAGATAAATTGTTTGTCACAGTGATTTCAAATAAATGCATTACAATAAGCGGTTGGCTCTCAAGATTATAATTTCTCAAATTTAATATCTGACTAACATGTTTAATACATATACTGTGTGTGTTCATCTATCATGATGTTTCCTGGTGCACTAAAAGGCTGAAGGAAGTCTAGTAGTGCCCAAATCAAGGTACTTGATCAATCTACGAGGCCATTGACTGTTATACTGAGAAATCTAGATTAGTGAAGACTACCTAGTTCATGTTCGCGCTACTATTGTAACAAATGGTTAAAGACTTTCGGTAATTTGGCTCAGAATCGTCCACAGTAGGAGGGATGTACTAACTCTTTGTCCTTCAGCAGATTCTAAGTTTCTGATTAATATTACACACTGTAGAATGTTTAATGAACATATCCATTTTTCCCCGAAAATCATGTCTACAATCTCCAGCTAACTTAATACCATTAATACTAATACAGTTGTCAGCTTAAAAGACTTTAGATACTTACACTGTGATAACTTGTTTCTATGTATTCATTAAAAAATAATAACTCAATGATATTGCGCTGAATTGATCAGCCTTTTTTACTACTGTTGAATGTGTTGAGTTTTGCGTGTTTGCTCTTCTATCCAACAGCAATTTTTGTGTTAAAGTGAGTTATCTTATGATAGCGACAGTTTCTAACCCAATTAATCTACTTTAAGTCCAAAATATATGTCAGGAAATAGTTCAGTAATTAATTAAATAAAGGTTTATTCTCCACATAAATGTTTTTGTTTCTTTTTGTTATATCGTGTGCGCTCGTAATATATAACGTATGAGTGCCCAATTTAATATATGAACGCCAATTTAGGGAGGAGTGGATTTATTGATCAGACGCAAATGATGATTGAAATCGTACGAGCAGTCTTGATTGCGTATCGGCCCTTCTATATGCTTAGCCTAGCCCGTTAAGTGCAGAACACAAATAACAGCCTCCGCAATAAGAATCATTATTTACAAACACACTGGGTTTTTATACAAACCAAAGTAATCAATAAACTGATTATAACTCAAGAATCGTATGATAATAAGTCAAGGTCGAAATAAAGCTAATGATAAGAGAAATACGAATATGAATAGTTTAGTTATGTAACAATTGTACAATAGGAAATAAGAATATTACATTGATCCATAAATAGACCTATAAGTTACCATTCGTAATTCACCAGAGGATATAACACTTTTCAACCGTAAAAGTACGTGGTTAATCTACATGATCTACTTCAGTAAGAAACGTCGTCTGGGAAATCCACATCTGAATTTGATTCCCGGTAAAATCAGTGGTCACAGTCATGAGGGTTACAGCTTTCTTTTTAGACTCAAATATTGACGTTAAATGATTATGTAGGTCAACTGAAATCAGAATAGCATGACAATGATGTCTCTAAATATGGCAAGCATGCCTAATATTGATCAGAACATTAACGTATTTTAATGAGTCAGCATCATTATCAAAGTGCATTCATCTATTTTTGTTTTACTCAGAGTGTGGCTGTAATAAAAATGGATGAAACTCAAGTGGGGACGTTCCCTTCAAAATCTAAGCAACACAACGATAATTTAACATCAACAGTTCTTACCCACAGAATACAAGCTAATTTGAATGTACTCAAATGCAAATTGGGCCTTGATTTAGTTAACAAAAGTAGATTGTATCAGGACAAAAAAGATGATTTCGCTTTTAACGAATCAAAACCGTTTGTACTCAAGTTTATTGAGCAGAAAAATAAATTATTCAGGTAAAATTTATTCATCATTCTATAAAATATATTTAGCTGCTTTTAATGGGCATTACTTACTTATTTACTTACTTACTCCTGTTACCCATTATAAGGGCACTGGTCGCCAACCGACATTCTTCAACCAACTCTGTCATGAGCTCTTCTTCACAGTTTTTTTAATTGCTATTCATTGTTTTGATATCTCCCTCCACTTCAAGAGAGTAAGCAGCCTTGTCTGTCACCTATCTTCGCTCGAAATAAATTTATAAGCTTTACTCCATGCACCATTATGCTGTATATTCAGTCCTGTGAACTCTGATGTTGACTATATTCTCAGGTACACCATGGTGTCGAGCGAGGTCCCATAACCCTATCCTATCAGCGATGCCAAACGCTTTCTGATAATCAAGGAAGTTGATGTATAGTTATGAGTTCCATTCAATAGCTTGCGTGACAATGCTCTGAAATGTGAATCGGTCTATGCCCGATGGATGCTTATGGGATCCAGCCTGTTGATGTTGGGCGTCCATCTAATCTTTAATTCCGCTAAATAAACACTTCTATACGAATGACTGAAACCTCTCAAAGAATTAACCCTTATTGTCTTTAATGCTATCACTGGTGGGAACATGGAACTGGATTATATTCATTTGCCTCGTTATTTCTGAAGAATATTGACTTTCATCAGGAGGTGTCATAATTTTTCCAAAAAAATCCTTCAACTTTCACAGTAGAGTTTAGATGGTTTAAATCGTCTTTCGGACTAGCGTTGTTTTAACAAGGTTTTTTCTACGGGTGGGGTTGTTGATCATACCTCTAACTCTTCTGTTTTACCTGAGTTTAAGACCAGCAGTGATCACAGAAGGGCTAGTGGCGGAGTTAAAGGGTCTTAGCTGTTATATACTATCCAATCTGAGTGTAAACTTTAGTCATAGAATATTGTGTTATTGGTCGGCTAACAGTTATTAGTTAGATATTTTAGGCCTTATCCACGTGAAATAACAAACTTGATCTTGTTTAGATGCTTTACAAGTTTCAGTGTGTAGAAACATCTGTGTTTTATGTATAACATTCTGAAAATCCAGTTACAAGATGAATTATTCCATTGAATTTGGCTGGGCAGTGTAATGCTAGTTACGTTTTAAGTTTCGACTGATAAATAGCTAGACAGTAAATTAACTAAGCATTTCCAATGAAATAACCTATTGCTGATTGGTAACAAATATCATGTTTCCTAGTCTTTAGTATAAAACAGAATGTACTGATCAAATAACGCTGTTACCAATAGCTAGATTGAACTGTGACGTAATCCGTCCAATGTCAGGAGGATGAGATCAGTTATCAGCTAACCTAGGATTCCTGCTAGTTGGCAAGTATCTGTATGGTCCATCTGTTATCTTGGGACAACAAATGAAATGCATGTCAACCTTAGGAAATATCAGTTCCATTTGTATTGAAGGTCATTTATTCTTTAATGTCTACTTAGAACTCCGGAATTATAAAGCCACTTACCATCTTCATCTAACCACATAACAAACGTTCTTCCAAAACTACACCAATTTCGATCATTTACAAGAAATAAAAGTGGTTTGGATCAAGTATCATCCCTTCAACTTGTTGTTAAATACAAAAGTATAGAACTATTTGATAAGTAGTATATGACATTATAGAAATGTTTTTGTCATCCATTGTTCTGGAAATTGCGAACAGTATAAGATTTGATTAAATCATTTCAAACAATCTGTTTTTTTAAGTAGAAAACAATAAACTGTCGTTGAGTTAAGCATTGTAGAAATATTCACAATGTCAATGATTCCACTGTGCTCCATCGGGTTTACCAGATGTAGTAGGCGTCGAGTCACGGTTAACTATGATCACTACTACAAGAAATTACATACCAGTTACTAGGTTAGATCCTTCCGTAGGCTAAATGTCAGAAGACAATTGATGGTTGTAGTAAGATGCATTTGTTGACGATCTTGTGGTATCAAAAACATACCGAGATCATGCCAAAGTTTACAAGTGGGACTCTTGAGCGTACATGAGTTCGTACAAGGTCACAAAGCAACGGAAGAGGCTCTTTATGATACACTTAAACAAATAGGTACACTAAAACATTCACTGGTACAATTGGTTATAATAAAAGCAGGTCACTATAAGTCTTCCTGATGCATTGATTTCAATCAAGTTACCATTAAAAATTAGAAACCTACTTCCTCTGAATGTGAAGTGGTGTCTAGAGAAGATGGAAACTAGTTAATGTTTCTTTTTTCAGTGACTGCTTAGCCTTGAAACTACTTAGCTATAACCGAATGATTTGTAGCTGTGAATAATTCATCAAAATCAATAGCTTTGTAAGTGTTCGACATTGGATGCTGACCACATTAGTTTAAGTGGACTCGTTTAGATGAAGGCGTTCGGTCATGCATCCGTACCAGATCACGTTACAGCACAGAGTGGGAAATATCTCTTATGATCACTGGCCAGATTAGATCAATCGCTCCTTGATATACTGATAACCCATCAAATATATCTTTCAACCTCTTTGCTTCTGACTTCTGATTTTAACTGGTTGGGCGCGATTCGATTAAAAAGGTGCTACTGGTAATGAGTTGTCAAACTACAATACTGATGGTATCTTCAGCTTCATATTTCTAAATTCTATCATCTTCTGACTACGAACACATAATTGTATTGTTATTATTGTTTTTATCTTCATAGAAGTCAAGTAAACCTTGAAAAAATCAATGATGCTCATATCAATACAATGTCACAGGACGGAAATTCCTCTATAGAGAAAAGAAGATCATTGCCGAAATTGAAGCATACTGACCATTCATTAGCAATAATCCCTAAAACTGGAACAGTGAACAAACTCGCTACTGATTATCAAGTTAAACAACGTATGTTACAATCTTATTCTTTGAATCTCTATAGATCATATAATATAGGGATAGTATTTTAAGGATAACTAGTGTATATACTTTGTACAGAATAGTCAGTTCGAATTCATGCTAGAATATGGAAGCTAATCTTGTTATAGATTGGTTTGAAATCAAAGAATATTGAGTAGTGAAGATACCACTAGTATTGTAGTTTGACAACTAATTATCAGTAACACCTTCTATAATTGAATCGCGCCCAACCAGTTAAAATTAAAAGTCAGAAGCAAAGAGGTTGAAAGATATATTTGATGGGTTATCAATATATCGAGAAATGACTGATCTAATCTGGCTAATGATCGTAGGAGATGTTTCCCACTCTGTGCTGTAACGTGATCTGGTACAGATGCATGACCTACCGCCTTCATCTAAACAAGTCCACTTAAGCTAATGTGATCAGCATCCAATGTCGAACACTTACAAAGCTATTGATTTTGGGGAATTATTTGCAGCTGCAGCAGAAATTTGATGCCTTTTCACGATTTCATTCAGTAGTGAGAAATGTTAGTGTACGTAATGTTAACGTTTTTTTAGCGAGTCAGTTTTCTACGAGATGGATTCGCTAACTCCATGCCCAACCCTCCTCCATTATCCGGGCTTGAAACTAGTGATAGCCCTAGAAGGGCTCCAGGTGGAGTTTTTGAAAGCTAGAGATCCTAAAATATGATAAACTCTTGACTTCACTTACTTACTTACTTACTTACTTACTTACATACTTACTTACTTACGCCTGTTACCCCCAATGGAGTAAAGGCCACCGATCAGCATTCTCCAACTCACTCTGTTCTGAGCCTTCCTAGCTAGTTCTATCCAATTGTCTTTCTCCATTTCTCGGCGTAATGGGTTTTTTGGTCTTCCTCTCCTCACTTGACCTTGAGGATTCCATGTGGGGGCTTGTCTTGTGACGCAGTTGGGCGATTTTCTCAATGTGTGTCCTATTCACTTCTGAAGCTTCTTCCTGATTTCTTCCTCCGCTGAAATCTGGTTTGTTCTATCCCACAGTAGAATGTTGCTGATAGTGTCCGGTCAACGGATCTGAAGTAATGACTTCAAAGTATAACAAAATATATGCATTTTCTAGCTTTAATCACATTCAAAATACTTTGGTATATCCATAACCTATTGTGTTCATTAAGTTATGAATTGAGGCGGATAACTGTAAATGATATTAGATGATAGTGAAAACACATCCTTAAATCACAGATCTTGAGAAATCTTTACTATCGATAATTAGCATACTGTTTGGTAGAATTCCCTTGAAGAATTTCAAATATTATGAGAATAGAGTTTTGCAAACTCTGCCTGTAGCTCATCTAGAGTTACTGCCGGTCCCAAGCCCGGATAAAGGAAGAGGGTTGAGCATGAGGTTAACGACCCAATCTCGTAGAAAACTAACTCGCTAAAAAACCGTTGAATTTTTCAGTCAATTAAAGTTGGACCATCATGAAAAACCTGAAAGCACTGAACAGCTGTTTCGTTCTAGTATGGGACTCCTCAACAGTACCCATCCATGATCCCATACACACGATTCAAAACCAAGCCAATCGGTTAGTGACAAACATCATCTATAAATTTAATCAATCTTTATATAGAAAAAGGGTGAGGATCGGCAAAGCAAGAGCAGCATATTTACAACTGCAGAACATTTGGAACTCAAAACAGTTGTCAACCAACACCAAGATCAGAATCTTCAATACAAATATCAAGGCAGTTCTGCTGTATGGGGTGGAGACGTAGTGAACTACGAAAGCCATCATACATTAGATACAAGTATTTAACAACAGTTGTCTACAAAAGATACTTCGGATCCGCTGGCCAGACACTATCAGCAACAAGTTACTGTGGGATAGAACAAACTAGATTTCAGCGGATGAAGAAATCAGGAAGAAGCGCTGGAAGTGGATAGGGCACACTTTGAGGAAATCACCCAACTGCGTCATAAGACAAGCCCTCACATGGAATCCTGATGGACAAATGAGAAGAGGAAGACCAAAGAACACATTACTCCGAGAATTGGAGACAGACATGAGAAGAATGAACAAAAATTGGATAGAACTAGAAAAGAAGGTTCAGAACAGAGTGGGTTGGAGAATGCTGATCAACGGCTTATACTCCATCGGGAGTAACAGGTGTAAGTAAGTAAGTTTATATAGAAAAAACCTACCTTTAGCATTACAGTTTTATTTTTTTCTATTTTATTGATTAGAATATCCCAATAAAATGACATATGAACCTTCTAATGAATGTAATAGTGCAAATCAGTGAGTTCTTGTTGCTTTCCTTTGAAGAATCTTTGATAAATTTTGAAGAATAGAACTTTTATACGATACAAAACAGTGAGACTCATGATCTGAATAAAATATAGATTAGATAAGATAAGAGAATATTGGTGGTAGGCGTCCAGTCACGGTTGACTATGATCACTACTACAAGAAACTACGTGCCAGTTACTAGGTTAAATCCTTCCATAGGCCGAATACCAGAAGGTAATTGAAGGTTATAGTACGATGTATTTGTTGACAATCTCGTGGTATCGAACTAATACTGAGATCATGCCAAAGTTTACAAGTGGGACTCTTGAGCGTACATGAGTTCGTACAAGGTCACAAAGCAACGGAAGAGGCTCTTTATGATACACTTAAACAAATGGGTACAGTAAAACAATCACTGGTTCAATTGGTTACAATAATAACTATGTCCATTATACCAATCGTGTTTTCTTCATAAGAGTAGGTCACTACAATATCTAGTGGAAGACTATGTCTTTTTATATGATGTGGTGAATGCTAAATAGATTAGTCTTGTATTCGAAAGATCAATATTGATAATAATAATGATAGACCACTATTAAGAACAAGGAAGGATTTGACGGTCTTTTTGTTCTACTACGAGACTCCTAAGCAGTTTACATTCACAATTTCGCATGCGCGACTCGAACCCAGGACCTTCAGTCTCGCGTGCAAACGCCGTTGTATGTGGACTCAGTGGTAAAGAGGCTAAGAGTAACACATACTTTATCTAGTTCTCTACAGTTTTTTTTGTGGAGTGGTTTCAATATAGTTACCAAACAATTAGTTATATCTAGAATTAGTCACAATACAATACCTGATTTGTGTACCTTTGATAATTCATACAGTCTTTGTAGATGTATTCCTACTGGTCTAATCGCTCAGTATAAATCTGAAGAAATAGCCCAATGATTCCTGAGCTTCTTCAATTGGTGATACCGAGATTGAAAGATGAATTAACCAGGTTGTTCAACTCGTTTATTACACTGATCGAAGTTCAAGGAATGGACAGTTTTGTGCTCGCGAACATCTCTCAGCATAGCTGAGAAAAGTACTAGGAAAAAAAGTGAACAGCTCAGTATTGGCTCTTTCAGTAGAAACTCATCATCGTGGTAGTATAAACCTATCGTTCTCAATTATTTATTGGGTCATCAATTTTTCACCAAAGTTTCTCAAACATAAAGTCCTCCAGGTGGAAAAATCAGTAGCCATTCAGATTAATAGACGGAAGGATTTTGTACGAAAGAAATATCTTCAACTGCTTCTCCTCCCCCGGCCAACCAAAAGGCCAATTAATCAATAGTAACCTTAGATACTGAATGATATAATCTGACGAGTGTATTCACAATCCATCTCAAACAAATATAATTGTCTTTCTTATCCTTATTCATTTATTATCATTAATATTGATCTCCTGAATACAAAACTAATCTACTTTGCACTCGCCACACAATATTATTTTCTTTTAACTTCACATGATAAAATACATAGTCTTCCACTAGACTCACCCATATGGTGGACAGCTGCGCAGTGTCGTTGGTTGAAATTAACCATTAAAACCATTAGATGCTGACTCAATGGTCTACATGTTAAGCGTTCACGTGTAAGATCTTAGAACCTGGGTTCAAGTCCCTGACGCGAGGTTGTGGATGTACACATTGCTGAGGAGTCCTATTCTAGGACGAAATGGCCGTCCAGTGCTTTCACATTTTCCATGGTGTTCCAGCCTTAGTTAATTCGTGAATTCAACTACTGGAAATGACCCACATGAATTCAGATCGTGAATCTCATAATTTTATTTAACTTATTCAAGTCCATATTGCTTATTTATCATCTCAACATTGTATAGCAATCCTATATTCATATGATGTAACTAGAAACGCAATATAGCTTTTATCAACCAGTCATATATGTTCTATTCAATGTACTAGAGTGAATTCATTTACTATTTCTAATTTATTCACTTACAATATACTATAAACTAATTAGATTAATCATGTAGTGTGTGCTACTGATATCGATAGATATAAGTAGTATGTATCAGTAGCCAAAAAAAGAAATGCCTAGAGGCAACAGGTTCAAAAGATCCAAGAAAAGGGAATAAGAACAAAGAATAATTGGTGTGGAGCAGTCAAGATTGAGACCATTGATTGATATTTTCCAAATGAAGTAGTCACTGTATGGTTCTAATATTTTACTAAGTGATACTGTAATTTTGTGTTGTAGTGCATTTGGTTACTATATAATGATACCAGCTAGTAAGTAATGCAGTTGTTAGGAAACGGTTACTAGGTAAGGAATGGCAAATCGATTGATGAAATAGTGAAACTTCATCATTTAGGATGGCTGGGACACGTGTTACATATGCCCAACCACCGACTACCCCAACTTGCAATGTTTTATGGTGTAGGAGTAAGTTAGAAGAAAGGTATAGGTGGCCAGACCAAAACGTGGCACGAATCCATGAAATTGCTAACAAATGGAATAAGGCATGTTGGTAGGTGTAGATTACCTGGTTGGGATCCGACAGATGATAACAACCGATGGCTAGAAACCTTGAATGACATGACTAAAAATCGTTTGCAATAGCAACAAAGATATGAAGCGATTTTAATCTCATAGTTTAAAGGAAGACAAAAAGTGTGTACACCATAGTGATCGATTCTCAACAATGTCACCCACAGTCTCCAACCATTGGTTACGGTAGTCACGCGGACCCCAAACAAGTAGTCTACATCTACCAACATGGATAAGACTAGAAGTTAGTGACTTCAGTGTTCACAGTACCTCATCAAGAAAAGATACTTATTCATTGGCTCTAGAAATTTACCGTTACGGATCTAAGCTCTGTTAAATCTTGCAGTTTATATACCATTTGATAAACAGTCATTGAAAAACTAGAAACACAAGATATTCATTCCATTTTACCATGGGCCTCATCAGCTGGCCACATTCACGGCATCATGAATGGTCGAGCCGATGAATTTAAGAGCTTTGGCTGGGATCCTATGGTTTGTATTTTTAACTTCTGTCAATTTATTAATTCCTCAGTTTATAGGAATTTACGACAGACTATACAAACTAAATTAATCTCTCCTTAGTTCTTCGAGGTTTTTGAAATAAGGTATTATTTAAGCTATTCATCCTAACTGTTTAAAGAGAGTGGTCGATTATATTATTATTTATCTATATACGACTAATTAATTGCCATCAATCGGATTTGAACCGAATACAGTTCGCTTTAAGCGCCATCGCGTTATCTACTCAGCTACTGAGTCCTGATGGCCACTGGCTTGTGCAATGGGTTGAAGTTTAACTTCACATGGTATTGTTTACTCCATTCTTTCCATTAATATTTATGACTGAAATTGATCAGTCTCTTATTGGCATATGTGAATACTATATGTATTACCTTGAGTGAACATCAACTATGGGATACAGGTATATCCAGCTGACGAGTCTCAAAAAGGACAAAACGCTAATCCTGGATTTCACTGCTAACCACTCTCCATCATGAATTAGGGCAATATCAATGCAATCTATACAAGATACATATATGCCAATAAGAGACTGATCAATTGCAATCCTAAGTCAGTCAGTTAGTCAGCTACAGCGTAGGATCAAGCACACATATACATCGGTCTAAGTTGTTATACCTCATTATGGTAATCCTAAACATCAATGGGAAGATTCAACCAAACAAATTTGTATGGACTATTTCGTTTTCCTTCTATTTATATTATTGTTTATCTTTTTTTGTATACCCTGTCAGAATACACCTTCTATTCAATAATCATAATGATATTCATGATCAATTGAAGATTATATCTTACTTTAAGGGTAAGTTTTATAGTTGTCTCTTCAGGTTCAATGAGATTATAAGTTATGGATGATCTTTGACTGACGCTGAAGTGACTTTTGGAATGCCCTCCTACTTACTTACTTACTTACTTACTTACTTACTCCTGTTACCCTTCGTGGAGGAGCATAGGCCGCACATCAGCATTCTCCATGCAACTTTGTCCTGGGCAATCCTTTCCAGTTCTTTCCAGTTAACATTCATCCTTTTCATATCCGTTTCAATTTCCCGACGTAATGTGTTCTTTGGCCTTCCTCTTTTCCGCTACCTTTCCGATGTCCTCCTACTAACCAGGACTAAATGAAGATGATAAACTAATATGAGGGATTAGATTTATGATTTAAAGTTGTTGGTTAAGGGTTACGAATTAGATTTGGAGTTTTCATCACGAACCGGCATCAGCTATAATGCCAAGGCGATATTTAGCCAGTGGGATGACTGAATTTTGCTCCAAAATCCAAGATCTGTTATCTTATATCTAATTGTTTCGTCCATAAATTATAGTCTCATCATGTTAAATTGAATTAGCTTATATGTTAAGTGAAATTTCTAAGATCTATGATGATTAGAATAAATATGTGTCAGATAAGGTGAGAGAAGTGGATAGGACACATATTAAGGAAAGCAGCAAACTGTGTCACAAGGCAAGCCATCACATAGAATCCTGAAGGCTAAATGACAAGAGAAAGACCAAAGAACACATTATGTCGAGAAATGGAGATAGACATGAGAAAAATGAACAACAATTGGATAGAACTAGAAAGGAAGGCCCAGGTCAGAGTGAGTTGGAGAATGCTGGTCGGCAGCCTATACTTCATTGGGAGTAACAGGTATAAGTGAGCATGGTGAGAGAAATAACAGGATGGGATGAATGCGAAGTGAATGAATAATGCATTGGGGAGATTAATAATGATGTTCAAGCAATAATAATAATAATAAAGATTTGTGAATAAAGATAATAGAGACAATTACATTTTACTACAAAAGGTCGGAAGTACAATAGTCGAATTAGGTCATTCAATATTTAAGATTACTATTTGAAATAATGGAGAAGATTTGTAGCTCAGGTGGGCTAAGGGCTCTGGCTCAAAACTGGTAGGTCCTGGGTTCGAGTCTCACGAGTGCGGGATCGTGGATACGCACTGCTGAGGAGTCCCATATTAGGACGAAATGGCCGTCCAGTGCTTTCAGGTTTTTGATGGTGATCTAGCTTCAATCGACCCATGATTTCAACTTTGAAAAAAACAATGAATATTGATTGCTATGATGAAGAAAATAGATATTCGTTTGATTTTGTTGGAAAACCTGACAGCACTGGACTGCCTTTTCATCCTAGCGTTGAACTCCTCAGAAGTGCGCATCTACGATCTTGCTCGGGTGACTCGAACACGGGACATTCAGTTTCACGAGCAAACGCTTATTCTCCACACCAATTAGCCGGTGAGCATCTAGCGATGTTAATGTCTAACTTTAACCAATCCTAGAAATTTCGCCACCATTCAGCATTGTCTTCAGTGGGTTACTGTCTCACAACAGACTTGGTTGAACTACACTGATCATGACTTCTCATTAGAACTCCAGGAAATATCTCTTAAAGCCAGTTACTAATGACTGGGATCGTGGATGCACACTTTAGGAGTTGTTGTTCTTTGAGCTGGATGGTTTCGTCTTGGAACTTTCATCCTTCTTCTGAACTACGTCATCAGCATAAACATTAACGCATTCATCATCTCATAGATTATAAATATTAATTATTAATATGTAAACTATATTCTATTGTAGGTAAACAACTGAAATATCAAGCCAATTATCCAAATACAAATAGTAACTTATTAAAGGTAAGTTTATTGTAAAACAAAAATAAAATGGGCATCTTTCGATATTTATTGACAACCACGTCTGTTGTGAGATAGGAACTCATTAGAGACAATTGATGAACGGTTGCTCAAACTTCGTGGATTGGTTGAAGTGAGACATCGGCACCATGGGATCTCGACTCAGTGGTTTAGTGGTTAAGCGCTCTTGCGTGAGACTGATAGGTTTTGGTTTTGAATCTCGTGAGGTGGGATCGCGCACGATCACTACTAAGGAGTCTCACAATAGAACGAAACAGTCGTCCAGTTCTTCAAGGTTTTCCATGGTGGTCTAGCTTCAGTTGACTCATGATTTCAACTATGAAAATACTGAAATCTCTATAAAACCCCTTCTGAAAGAAAATACTCTACATAAACATTGATTCTTTGGGTGATAGAGTTATAAACGTCAGAAATAGGAGGATATCTGAGTCTTTAAAAAGAACATTCTTCATAACAACGTTATGAATAGTATTCTTCCGTTGATCAATGTTCATCTGTAATCTTAAGGATTAAATAATCTTATCTGACTAACTTTATGTGTATATAACAATTTATTTGCTACTATGAAGCCAGGTATATAAGTTGCTTGATGAGTACTTTATGGAAAAGAATTTAGGAAAATTACTTGGCTTGGCTTCCTACTGTACGGAGCTCAAACGTGGAGATCTTTCAAATCCATCTTCAAGAAGGTACAAGTATTTATAAACAAAACGCTCAACATTCACTGGCTGGATACTATCAGCAACAACCTTTTATGGGAGAGAACAACTCAGCTTCCAGCTCAAGAAGAAATTAAGAAAAAACGTAGGAAGTATATCGGACATACATTAAGGGAATCAACAAACTGCAACACGAGGCAAGCCCTCACATAGAATCCTAAAGGGAAGTGGAAAAGACGAAGACCAAAGAACACATTACGTCGGTAAAAAGAAGCAGATATGAAAAACATGAATGTTAACTGGAAAGAACTGGAAAGGATTACCCAGTACAGGGTTGAATGGAGAATGCTGGTGTGTGGCCTATGCTCCTCCACTAAGAGTGACAGGCGTAAGTAAGCAAGTAAGTACCTGGCTTGGTTAAAAGCATACTGAAAATGTTTAATAAGAAGTTCAATAATCGAACATCTTGTGAACAGAAGTCATTCAATAAAGATGGGCTCTGAGTCCAAAATCATCTACAAGCTTAGTAGAAAGCTGCCAAGAGTAATTCAATATCTACTGCTGCTTCTTCTATCTTCTCTACAAACCTTTTACCATCAACTGATTGTATTACAATTCAATGCCAAACTTTTACGTCATCATGCTGAGCTATTATTTCCTAATTATAATTTCTCTATTTATCTTCATGATAAATATTCAAGACTATAACAATAAAACTATTATTAAGCAAAGATGGATAGTGGCTAGCAGTGGAATCCAGGACTCGTCAGCTGGATGTACTTGCGAGTGGTTATCAGGACTCATTAACTGAGTGGATAACACAATGGCGTTTGAAGCGAAAGGTAGTGGGTTTGAGTCCCAGAGTGAACATCAACTCTGAGATGCAGATACATGAAGCTGATGAGTCCAAAATAGGACAAAACGCGCGTCCTGGATTTCACTGATATCCACTACCCATTTTTGCTCATAAAGCTTGTGAATTAAGGCTATATCGAGGCAATACGCACAGTATGCCCATATGCTAATAAGAGACTGATCAATTGCAATCCTAAACATCAATGCGAAGATTCAAACAAACAATACTAAATGAAATTAAAATGACATGTTTTAATGTGTTGTTTAGGTAGATAAAACAAAGAAACTACCAAACCTAATTAAACTGAATCCAATAGAAGAAATTGTTGTCAGCGATTATCAAGATGGAGACTTTACAACTACTGGAATTCTAGGACAAAATAAATTTGATTATAGCTTGATTAAGAATACAACAGTAAGTTCACAAAAAGAAACAAATTTATAAGAAAATTATTTACTACTTATATAATTTTTAAGTAGCTAATCTGAAATATAAAAAATAGTCAGGTAAGTGGAAATTTGTAGTATTTTATTTATTTATTTATTTCAACACATAAATATTGGTACAAGGAGGCACCAAATAGATATGCATATCATCGATTTTCACGAGGGCTTGGATACTACCCAGATTCCTAAACCGAATCAGGTTGGGATATCTTAGGAGGCCGATTCCCAAGACCTAAAGGTTTAATCCATAAGGCAATGCAGTCACGTAAATGAAAATTGAATTATGTTAAATTTTCTAAAATACAACACATTGAATCGACGACAAACAATGAGCATAAATATTATAATGATTTGTAGTACACTGTATTTAATGTGTATTTCATTCTTCTTAGAGGGTCATTATAGGAGTATCAGAATACTTATGGATTTACACTTATACATCACAACCTGAAACATTTTTAAGACGGTTCACTTTAGTATCTCAATAGAAATTGTAGTTTATCTCAGAAATAAGTAGAATACTTATAAGAGTCTATTGGAATATACATGTTTTTGATCATAATGGTAGTTATTAAACCTATTAAGATGCGAGACGGAATAGTGGATGCTCATTGCTGAGGAGTCCCACAATAGGACGAAACAACAGTCCAGTGCTTCCACGTTTTCCACAGAGCGCTTAATCTCTAGATCACTAAGCCTGCTGGCATCCAACGGTGTTAATGTCTAACTTCAACTGTTATTGTTCTAATCTCAACAAGATTGAGTTAAACTAAACATTAACATTGATTTGATGGTAAACATTTTGAAGAAGCACAGTGAATTTTAGAAAAGTGTTCATTCGTTTATACTTATGAAGGAGTGTATATGTCAATTTAACTGAGTAAACAAACTCGATCTAATTCAGAAGACTCTCACAAGTTTGTGTTTCAGTTAGATAACTAATTAACCTCTGTTATATGGTCACGAAGATAATGAATGTTAACTGTTGAAATCTATTTATGGAGTAACACTATCTTATCGCAACATAGTTCACGCAGTGTCGAGCCACCTAGACTAGTGGTCACATAGCAACTTGATAAATAGCATTCGATCAGCACTAAGAAGAACTTGACACACATGACATTGATCACTACGCAGTGATCAATCAATTGTGACTATACATATATTTTTTTATTGTGTAATTGTTGAATAACTAAATCATGTATATTCATATTCCTCTTATTATAAGATTTATTTTGACAGCCATGTTTTCTCGTTAGCGTTTTTTTTAGCGAGTTAGTTTTTCTACGGGATGGGGTCGCTAAACCCTCCTCCTTTACCCGGGTTTGGGACTGGCAGTAACTCTAGATGAGCTACAGGCGGAGATTTTATTTTGACCTATAGACTATTATTATATGATTTAACATTCTTGAGTTATGTCCAGTCTACTAATTACAGTCTCTCACATCAACAGCCACATTTGGTTAACTCTTGTACAAATGCTGTTTTCTATTTTGTGGTATAATGTGGTCTGTTTAGTTGGTATATAAACCCAGTATGTTTGAAATGTATGATTCATATCGCAGAGGCTGAGACTGATGTTCTGGACTTCATCATGCAGGGATAGTCAGGAAGAAGGACCGATAAAGACTTTAGACTGTCGTACGTGTTTATATGTTATTAGTCCGGTTAATAAGTTACTATCCTTTAATTGGTGGTATCATTAAGTTTGTACATTAACACTGTGGTGTGGGTTACTTATATCCACATAAGTAATATATAACTATGGTTAGGCATTAAATGTATTTCAGTGCTCAAATATATTCAATTCTCCCCACCTGTATTCTGTTCACTACAATAGGTTAGTCATAAAGGCTACAAGTTAATAATAACCTCATAATTTATATACTACTCATTATCAATGTTAATTAGTAATCATAAATTAACTATAATAATTTTTATATCATTTTAATCTAGAATAAAAATACTATGAAAAGGAAAGATTCAACAAATTCTATTTCAGGTTAGTAGTTATTCAATAGAAAACTATCGGTTACTAAGCAAGGATGAATAGTGTATAGCAGTGGAATTACAGGATACATGTTTCGTCCCATTTGAGACTCGTCAGCTGTTTTAAGTATATATCGAGGCAATATACACAATATGCATATATGGCTAGTAAGAGATCCATCAATTGCACTCCTAAACGTCAATAGGAAGATTCAAACAAAACAACACCAAGTGAATCTAAACTTTACCTTATTGCATAACCAAGGGGATTTCAGGACTTAGTAGCTAAGTGAATAACGCAATGGCGTTTAAAGTAAACGGTAATGGGTTGGAGTTCCAGAGGGAACATCAACTTTGAGATGCAAGTACATCCAGCTGACGAATCCCGAATAAGACGAAACGTGCTTCTTGGATTCCGATGCTATCCACTATCCATCTTTGTTTATAATAATTATCTTTGATTTTTAGTTTGAATACTTTTAAAGATCTTATATTGCATAGTTGAAATCATGAGTCAATTGAAGCTAGACTACCATGGAAAACTTGGAATCATTAGACGTCCGCTTCGTCCTATTGTGGGACTCCTCAGCAGTGCGCATCTGGCCCAGTGGTCTATCGGTTAAGTAGTCTGGAGCGAGACTGGTAGGTCCTGGGTTCAAACCTCTCCCAGGCAAAGTCGTGGACACACACTACCACTGAGTAGTCCCACAATAGGACGAAACGCCCATCCAGTGCTTCCAGGTTTTTCATGGTAGTCTAGCTTCAATTGACTATTGATTTCAACTATGGAAAATATTGAAATCTTCACAAAACCCCGTTCTGATCTTATATTGGTTATGAAACTTCATGATCTTATGTTTTCACAATATTTCCAAAGCAGCAATGTTATAACTTCTTTATTTTATTGATTTTTCTTAAAGTAGAGAAGGTACCATTTTTATGTTCGAATACAACAAAGAAATGTTGTACATATGGAATACGTGAACCAATTGAACCATGGTTTCCATTAGATTCATTATTTATAGAAAGTAATAAGATGAACCAAAATGTCACTTCATAGTAAGTTATTTCTTATATGGTATATTTCACCTTTCATATTGGTTAGCTTTCATTCAAGTCGTTCTATTTGAATATATGAGATTTCATTTGAATTGGCAAGAACTTTATAGACCGGAGTTAGACAAGGCTGGTTAGTCTATACCTCTCTCTTTCTAATGGTGATGATCGACTGGAATATGAAGACCTCGAAATCTGAGGGTAAGCATGAAGTATTATGGACAGGTTGGATGAAACTAGACGATTTGAATTTTGCAGATGATCTGGTTCTTCTATCCCATACATATCAACAAATGCAGATGAAGACAAACAATGTAGCAAAAGCCTCTGAATTAGTAGGTTTCAACATATACAAGCGGAAAAACAAGGTCTTTAAATACAACTCCGAGAACAACAAGACAATCATACCTAATAAACAAAATCTGGATGGTGTGGAATCTTTTACTTACGTGGGAAGCATCATCGATGAACAAAGAGGATCTGATGAAGACGTAAAGGCGAGGACTAGAAAATTAGTGGCTGCATTCCTACAGATGAAAAACATATAAAACTGCAAACAACTGTCCGTCAACATCAAAGTTAAAACCTTCAATACGAACGTCAAGACAGTTCTAGTGTGCAGAGTTAAAACTTGGAGAACTATCACAACTATCATCAACAATGTACAGGTATTTACAGACAGTTTTCTTTGCAAGATACCCTATGTCTGTTCGCCAGATACTATCTACTACAGCCTACTGTGGGATAGGACAAACTAGCTTGCAGCTGAAGAGAAAATTAGTGAACGATAATGGAAGTGAGTAGGAAATACATTGTGCAAATCATTAAACTACACCACGAAGCATCGCCAAATAGGAATCCAGTAGGGAAACAGAATAGAGGAAGACCAAAATACACATTGCGTCGGGAATGGGAATCAGACATGAAAAGGATGAATGTTAACTGGAAACAACTGCAAATGATGATCCAGGATCAAAGTTGGATGGAGAATACTGATAATTGGCCAATGCTCCTCCATGAAGGGTAACAAGCGTAAGTAAGTAAAGTAAGTAAGTTCTTGAATGACTTCCTTAGCCTCTGTTAATGTATATTTTGACTGTGTTAGTATCATAGGAAGTCTCTGGTATTCTCAGTACATATTCAATATCTTACAACTTTAATGTGAGTCTTAACAGTTGCAATCTCATCATTCCCATATAGATTGTACTTTTTCTACTTTATCATTTGTATTACAGTTTACGCTTGAATAGGTCAAAAAGTTGTGATACTAAATATGTTAACAATTCTAAAGTAAGTGATTGATTTTTCTTACGTCCTTGGTATGTTTACCCATTGATATACATGAAAGAAGGGGTTTTGTGGAGATTTCAGTATTTTCATAGTTGAAAGTGTGAGTCAATTGAAGCTAGACCACCATGGAAAACCTGGAAGCAGGATCGTGGATGCGCACTGCTGAGGAATCCCATAATAGGATGGAACGGCTGTTCAGTGCTTCCAGGTTTTTCATGATGGTCTAGCTTCAATTGACTCATGCTTCCTACTATGAAAATACATGAAAGAACTTGTATCAATTAAGGTTAAGGTCTTGACATGATTACCCTACTGGTTTAAACTTGAAGGCAAAAATGACTGAGTCCAAATTGAGACTGTCGGCGGTGGGCAAAGAGACGAAAACGATTTTATCACCTGACTGGTTCAAAAGATAGAGAAAGAAAGAAAAGGCACGTCAACTGGAACACTGATTGATATATTCCTAATTCATGAATCTTGATTCACATTAGTATAAAATGGTACGTGAATACACAGTTGACTAACAGGACCACTACGCACAAACAATTGGAAATATAAAATTATGTTCAAAACTGAACATTAGAATAGGATTTTTGGGTACAAAAAGGTTTTGTTTAAATTACAACAGCTTTGGATCAGAAGAAGTATACAGCAATGAATCATACCTACTTACGCCTGTTACTCCCAATGGAGAATAGGCCGCCGATCAGCTTTCTCCAACCCACTCTGTCCTGGGCCTTCCTTTCTAGTTCTATCCAATTTTTGTTCATTCTCCTCATTTCTATCTCTATTTCTCAGCGTAATGTGTTCTTTGGTCTTCCTCTTCTCCTTTGACCTTCAGGATTCCATGTGAGGGCTTGCCTTGTGACACAGTTGGATGATTTCCTTAAAGCATGTCCTATCTACTTCCAGCGATTCTTCCTGATTTCTTCCTCTGCCGAAATCTGGTTTGTTGTCTCCCACAGTAGTATGTTGCTGATAGTGTCTGACCAACGGATCCGAAGTATTGTGAGTAGACAACTGTTAATAAACACTAGTATCTTCTGGATTACGGTTTTCGTAGTTTTCCGCCTGTAGCTCCCCCGAAGGTTACTGCCGGCCCCAAGCCTGGATAAAGGAGGAGAGTTGAGCACGGGGTGAGCGACTACAACCCGTAGAGAGCCAACTCGCTAAAAAACACTAACCAGAAAAAATTATTCAGACCGCAATGAATCATAAATCAAACGAAAACTTAAAGTTCACAGAATAACCCATGGACAAAATTAAATGTTAGTATTTTACAAACCTTGAATTAGGTGAGAAAACCTACCCAAGAATAGTCTCCGCTGTTTGTTATGGCTTCTTTACTTCTCTGTTCTCATCAGATTTGACATTTTATACTTACTTACTTACCTACGCCTGTTACCCTTCGTCGAGGAGCATAGGCAGCACACCAACATTCTCCATCCAACCCTCTCCTGGGCAATCCTTTCCAGTTCTTTCCAGTTAACATTCATCCTTTTCATACTTGCTTCTATTTTCCGACGCAGTGTGTTCCTTGGCCTTCCTCTTTTTTTCCGCTCCCATTCACCATTCCAAGTTAGGGATTGCCTTGTAATGCACATTGGTGGTTTTCTTAATGTATATCCGATCCACTTCCAACGTCTTTTCCTAATTTCTTCTTCAGCTGGAAGCTAGTTTGTCCTCTCCCATAAAACGCTGTTACTGATAGTATCCGGCCAGTGAACATTTTATGCACATTTTAGAAATAATTATTTACTAATTCATCTTCCATTGGGTTGTTTGAACCTTCCGATTGACGTCCAAGACTGCAGTAGCTTAGTTTCTTATTAGCATACGTACATCCTCCTCCATATTATCTTAAGTCACAAGTATCATAAGCAGAGATTGGTGGTGGCTAGTAGTAGAATCCAGGACGCTCGTTTCACCCAGTTTCAGACTCGTCAGCTAGGTCTGCCAGCGTCTCAGAGTTCAAACGATCCTCACAGGATGCACATATGCCAATAAGAGACTGATTAATTGCAGTTCTCAATGTCAATAGAAAGATTCAAACAACCAATACAAAAATGAATTAAACTTCAACGAATTGCACAAGCTGGCTCTCGGGACTCAGTAGTTAAGTGGATAACGTGATGGTGTTTGAAGAAAACATCTATAAACAATAATGTAGAATTCATTCTGTACGTTTTAGATTATGTTCAGCTATTGATTATTAAGATCATCAATGCAATGATTGAATGTTCAATAACATAACATGGTACAACATTAAAAAAAAATTTAACTTAATATTAATATTATTCAGTTTGCCCCCAAATGCCATGGTACGGTCGAGAGTAAGGAAAGTTAGCTCTCCCTCTCGAAATGCTCTCACATGGCCACGTGCAAACAACCACTTCCAGGGAAGTCCTACTCACTAGCTTCTCGTGGCAATAACGTTGTTCACAAAATTAAGAGGACGAAAAGTGAATGTTCGGCGCTTTAACCGGGTTGATGGACACGGAAAGTCCACCTAGGGAAGTTGGAAAACCCTCACTCCAAACCAATAGTGCACATGGGCTCCAGGATCCTGAGAGAACAAATGGCGTATGAATCAATCGCTGGTCACCGGCTACCATGAGACTGCATCTCCTTACAATGCTCCACTGCCTTGTGAATCAGACCTTTAGGTCAAAGGCTCGGGGTGTGACCCCCTAAGAAAACCACCTGCTTCGGTCTGAGCACTCGAGCAGTATCCCAGCCCTTACACAAGTCGAATGATTTATGTGACGCATATCTATTTAGTGCCTTCTTGTACCAATGTTTATATGTTTATGTTTTATTTATTCTAGTTACCATTCAAATCTGAATCCAATTTATATCATAGTTCACCAAATTTAATGAATCAATCATTTGGTGATTTGGTTATAAATCAAAATTTCTCAAGTCTATTAAATGAAGTAAGTTTATAATATTGAACAACTCAATGTAATATTTTATAATCACTGTTAAAGTGATCAAGAAAATTTCTTCCTTACGCTTGTTAACCTTCATGGAAGAGCATTGGCGGCTCATCAGCATTCTCCATCCAACTCTTTCCTGGTTAATCATTTACAGTTGCTTCCAGTTGTTATTTATTCTTTTCATGTTTGATTCCAATTCTCGATGCAATGTGTTTTTGGACCTTCCAGTTTTCCGTTTCCCTACTGGATTCCTAGTTAGCGCCTGTATCGTGATTGAATTTTTTGATTTACATAATGTATGTCCTACTCACTTCCATCGTCTTTCGCTAATTTCCTCTTCGGTCGGAAGCTGATTTTTTCTCTCCCACATGTCCTCTCCCAGATGATATCCAACCAACAGACATTGGGTATCTTGCATAGAAAATTGTCTGTAAATACTTGTTCATAGTTGATGATGGTTGTAGTACTTCTCCGAGCTACAGCTCCGTACAGTAGAACTTCCCTTCATTATTGTATAAATAACATTAGTGGAAGAGTGAAAGCGCTAATTATCACTGTCTAAATAGTATTATGACTGGATATTCAACTTCTCTATCAATACTGATAACTAGGATTTTATGATTTTCAGTTTTCTTAGTACGTTCTAAGTAGGAAACTTTGTCAACTGGCTTAAAATTTAAACTGCAAAACAGATGTACTTGGTATTATTTACTTGCATCTTTCAATTGATGTTTAGGTCTGCAATTGAACAATTTCTTATTGTCATATGTGCAAATTGTGCGTATTGCCTTGATATTGCCTTGATTCACAAGCTTTATAAACAAAGATGGATTCTCGCTGGCACACGAATCCAGCAGAGAACAGAGGAGTACAGAATTCGAGTCCCGACTGGAGTGAACATCAATTCTGAGGTGTAGTTATGTACAGCTGACGAGTCCCAAATAGCACGAAACGCGCGTCCTGGATTTCACTGCTAGCCACTATCCATCTTTGCTTATAGATTACTTACTTACGACTGTTATTCCTCATGGAGGAGCATACGCCACTCATCAACATTCTCCATCTAACTCTACCTGTAGTTTTTTAGGGCTACTGCCGATCCCCATTCCGACTAAAGAAAGAGGGTTGAGCATGGAATAAGCAACCACAGTAAACTATAAATTGATTTACTTATAATTTCATATAATCACCAGAGATTTCAACTGTGAAATCATTAACATTGAGCATTGAAATTAACTCATCTATTGTAAAGAATGAACTACTCTAATCTGTTTCTTCACTTATGCTACAGATTTTCTCTAGCGTTTCAAGGCTTCATTATCGATATGAAATAGATCTTATAAGTATTCAATGCTCTACAAGACGTAACTACTTTTAGTAGTCTATGAAGGAATCGTCGTAATGATTATAAATATTTTGTTAGGATGGATATTGAAGTAACTAGGATCAATAATACTAGCATTTGATCATAAGAATTGAATAAATACATACTTTTTATTAGTTAAGATCATGAGTCAATTGACGCTAGACCACCAGGAAAAACCTGGAAGCACTGGACGGCTGTTTCGTCCTATCGTGAGACTCCTCAGCAGTGCACATCCACGATCCCGTCTCATGAGATTTGAACCCAGGACCTATCAGTCTCACGCGTGAGTGCTTAACCATTAGGCCACTGAACCGGCTGGGATCCCACGGTGTTAATGTCTAACTTCAACCAATCCACGAAATTGAACAACCCATCCACCAGTTGTCTTCAGTGAGTTACTATCTCACAACAGATCTGGTTGAACTCCATTGGTTCATTAAACCCCTTCTGATATTAAATACATATTTACTGTTATCTCATGTATATATTCAAGTTTCCATAGACCGAAACACTAGAAAAATACATGCTTTAGTTAAACAGTATTAAAGAACAGATGGCATTGTATACGTGTACCATTTTAGTTTAGGATGCTTCAGAAGTGTTAACTTATCATTCCATTAATGACCAGAGAGGTTTGAATAATTTTCCTGATAAGCGTTTTTTTAGCGAGTTCGTTTTCTACGGGATGGAGTCGCTAACCTCATGCCCAACCCTCCTGCTTTATCCGGGCTTGTGACCGGCAGTAGCCCCTGGAGGAGCTACAAGAGAGTTAATAACCAAAGGGGATATTATTGAAAAACTGAGTTCTACCTCGATAGCCCATATCTTGTATTTTGATCAATGTGAAAAACAGCTTTGTCACTATCCAATCACTTCAGTCTTATCAGTCTATCCGTCTCTTCGATGCCCAAAAATGTCTAGGTTCTATATCTTGTGATACTCAATGTTTTTGTTTTACTTTTACAAACTACCTAACTCAATACATTTCTTTTGCTTTTCTGACAATTCTGTTCAGTTAACCCAACAAAGGAAGTTAATATTAGATATGGAAGATCAGACTGCTAGTAATCTTGAAGAAAGGATATCGCCAGGATATTGTACTCCCAGCGGAAAGAATAAAGTCTGTAAGTGAGCTGAATATTTTATTGAATATAAACTATCATTATAAGTGAAGATGGATAGTGACTAGCAGTGGAATCCAAGATGCGCGTCTCATCTTATTTGGGATTGTCTTACTTACTTACTTACGCCTGTTACCCCTCGTCGAGGAGCATAGGCCGCTCACCAGCATTCTCCATTCAACCTTCTCCTGGGCAATCCTTTCCAGTTCCTTCCATTTAACATTTATCGTTTTCATATCTGCCTCTATTTCCCGACGTAATATGTTCTTTGGCCTTCCTCTTTTCCTCTTCCCTTATGGATTCCTAGTTAGGAATTACCTCGTGATGCAGCCCGTTGATTTCCTCAATGTATGTCTGATCCACTTCCAACGTCTTTTCCTAATTTCCTCTTCAGCTTGAGGTTGGTTTGTCCTCTCCCACAGAAGGCTGTTGTTGATAGTATTCGGCCAATGAATGTTGAGTATTTTGCATAAACAACTGTTTATAAATACTTTTACCTTCTTGACGATGGATGTAGTAGGTCTCCACCTTTCAGCTCCGTACAGTAGAACTTTCTTGACGTTCTTATTAAAGATTCTCACTTTGAATTTAGTTGACAGTTGTTTTGAGTTCCATATGTCAGCTGAATGTATCTGCATCTCAGAGTTGATATTCACTCTGAGACTCGAACTCAGTACCAATCGCTTAAAACGCCATCGCGTTATCCACTTAGCTACTGATTCCTAATAGCCACTTGCGCATCCTGCATTCCACTGCTAGCCACTATCCATCTTTGCTTATAATGCTTGTGAATTAAGGCTATATCGAGGCAATACGCACAATATGCCCATATGGCCAATAAGAGACTGACCAGTTGCAGTCCTAAACATCAATGCGAAGATTCAAACAAACAATACTAAGTGAATCCAAAACTTAATCCTTTTGATTAATTGTGTTATATCTCTAGTCATTCCAGCTTACAATTCAATACATGATATTCTATAGTAATGAAATCATTCGTAATGATAAATTTTTGTTAAGAATAATATCATTGTTTTAATGTTTCAGTAACAATGATCCATTCGAATAATGACGGTCTTGTTCATCCTTCTAATCATGTGTAAGTTAATTTTATTCGAATATTACTTTGTTGAACTGGAAGATCTTCCAATGACGCTGAAGTGATCTTGAGAATGTCCTCCTATTAACCAAAACTAAATGAAGATTATAAATCAATGTAAGGAATTAGAATTAAGATTTTCCAGTTGATGGTTAAGGTTAGGAATTAGATTAACAGTTTTCATCATGAGCTGATATCAGATATGACGCTGAAATGCTACTTAGACAAATGGATTGAATGAATTTCGCGTCAAAATCCAGGACCTGTTATCGGTGAGACTAAAGGTTATGGATCACCTTTTGAGCTAGACCGAAGTGGCCTTGAAAGTGTCTACCTGCTTACTAGAGCTAAATAAAGATTATAAAGCAGTTTGAAGAATAAGGATTATGATTCATAGTTGATGGTTAGGGTTAGGAATTCGATCTACGGTTTTTCATCACGAACTGGCATTAACTAAAATGCCAAGACGTTGTTTGGTCAAATAGGTAAGTGAATTTTGCGGCAAAATCTATCATGAAGTATATAATCATGAATTATTAGAATGCCCTTTAAAAAATAACACCGCCTGCGGCTCTTCTAAGACTACTACCAGTCCCCACCCCAGGTAAAGAAGAGGGTTAAGCATGGGTCCCGTAGAAAACAACCACACTCATTATCAAAAAGGTATGTAAGATACTGAATATCTGTTGACCGAATACCAACAGCACTAACCTATTGTGGTAGAGAACAAACCAATTTCCAACTAAGTAAAAAATTAAAAAAAAGACGCTTAAAGTGGATAGGTTACACATTGAAGAAATCATCGAACAACATTAAGAAACAAGCGCTAACTTTGAATCTTGAATGGAAACGAAAAAAGAGGAAGATCATATGCTCACTAGTGACTGGCTCCATGAGGTAATTCCTGAAGTTCTAGTGAGAAGTCGTGACCAGTTGAGCTCATCCATGTCAGCTAGAGAAAGGTATCTACCTCAGTACAATGGAAGTTGGTCGTGAAATTTCGTGGATTGGTTAAGGTTAGACATTAACACCGTTGGATGCCGGATCGGTGGTCTCTGGCACGAGACTGGTAAGTCCTCGGTTCGAATCTCGCGAGGCGGGTTCGTGGATGCACACTGCTGAGGAGTCCCACAATAGAACGAAACGGCTGTCCAGTACTTTCAGATTTTCCATGGTGGTCTAGCTTCAATTGACTCATTATCTCATCTATAAAAGAAGACCAAAGAACATATTACATCAAAAATTGTAAGCAGACATGAAAAGGATGATTAACAACTAGAAAGGATGGATTGCTCATGACGGAGTTAGATGGAGAATACTAATGAGAAGCCTATTCTCTTCCATGATAGGTAACAGGCATAAGTAAGTTTATTTTGATATTTAAAAGGGGAACTAATATCAATTATTAATATTATTATTATTATTCTTTATTATGAAGGAATGATTTGGAAATAAGTTACCATACCGAATCAGTGAATAGGGTTGGTAACCATGGCAACAAAATCGATCAATATTTAAATAATCAACCTATATCGATTAAACAATTCATTCATTTAAATTCATCTGATCTATTATTATTATTATCATCATCATCATCAAAAATCAATAATGATAAGAATTATTTACAAATTGATTGGAATAAAATAATACAAAAATTACCTAAAAATATTGAATCAATATTAAAATATTTTGGATCAACTAAACAAGATCAATTCATGAATATTAAGGTAAATTAATTAATCACATAGTAACAATGAAGTTAATAATAGTTATCATTGGATATATGTAAAAGTTTAAGATATTGATCAGGTGCCTTAATTGAAGTAGGTAGTTTTCTTAAGAGGCTACATCCGGAGCCTTTGATCTTGACGTCTAATCTAAAAGGCAGTGAACCAGTTTTAGGAGATGAAGTCCCATGAAATCAGGTGATTAACAACAGGTTCATACAATATTTGTTCTCTCATGATATTGGAACCCATGTGCATCATTGGTTTGGAATCAGAGTTTTCCAACTCTCCTAGATGGATCCCCCATCTCTACCAATTAGGTTACAGCACCGTATCGTCCTCTCAATTTCGTAAACAATAGTAATGACATGAGAAATTAGTAAGTAGGACTTTCCTTGAAATAGCTGTATACTCGTGGTCATGTGAGAGTATTCCGACAGAGAGAGAGGGAGAGTCAACTCTTCCTACACTCGACTGTACCAAGGCAATGTGAAACATACATCTTCTAATCATTTTTAATCAGGAATAAATGAATGGAAATGTATTTATCATCAAAAACCTTTTTGTGCAAATGATTGTATTCTTCACCAATGAATATTGATTTAATAGTTGAATTCATGAGTCAATTAAAGTTTAACCATTAAGGAAAATCTGGAGGCATTGGATTGCCGTTTTGTTTTATTCAATGACTATAATATTCACGAAAAACCCTTTCTGATTATAATTATCATATGCTTACTAGTGATTGGCTTCAAGAGGTATTTTCTTGAGTTCTGATGAGAAGCAGTGACCAGTGAAGTTCAACCAGATCTGTTGTGAGATAGTAACTCACTGAAGACAATGCTGGACGGTGACGAGATTTCATGGATTGATTGAAGTAAGACATTAAAATCGTTAGATGCCTATTCAGTAATATAGAGGTTAAACGTTCTCTCATAAGGTCAAATGCAAGAACTTCAGGCCTCACAGTGGGCGTCTAGCTTTTATATCACTGAGTTAGAATTCAATGCATTGGTTCTAACTTCAATCAATTCAGAATATCTTCTAACCACTTTCCAATGTATTTGTTAAGCAACTGTTTCGTACTGCACATAGTTAAACTTCACTAGTCACAATTTCCCACTGTAACTGTGGGAATAATGTCTTTAAATGAATCACTATTGAACTCAGAGTGATCAGTCACTATATCCTGCATTCAATGGTATAAAAGTCATGTGGTTATTGGGGAACCTGACAATTCCAGTTGTAGTCCCATGAAGGGTTATATGAATGCACACTATTGAAGAGCGGTCACGCTCTCAGGTCATTAAGACCACTACTAATCCAATTTCCTTTTCAGGTACTTCTAGAAGAACCCTTCCACTGTGTGGACAACCGAGAAGTGATAACTGCCCTCATACCTCTAACAGCACTCAAGACTAACCGTATTAAGGAATCCTATACTATTGAAACTAACATATTTTATTGTTCTGTACTGTTTTCTCTTATCATATTTGTTTATCAGTTAGTTACAAATGAAATAGAAAACCTTACACAAGAAATCAACAAAAATTCATCTACGAGATTAGGTTTCGATTTATGTCGACGAGGTGCTTTATATAGAAAGGTGAGTAGGGTATTGTTTGTTTGTTTTTTCTTGTTTATTTGTACCTCATTTGTGATAGCAGTCAAATTGCTTATGAAAAGAGGGTAGTTAACATGTACATTCTGGTAATGTTCGTATAGTGAACTAGAACACAAATGCCCCTCCCCCACACTTCCAGTCAAACAAGTTGAATCCTAGTAGGCCCTTCTGGAGAGAAATGCTACATCGAAGCAAGGCACAACTAGCTGGACTCAATAACTGGTTTTTGCATTGCTTACGCAGAATCATTACATCGTTACATATATTTTTGGGTAGACTCGTTCTTTCTTTCTTTATGAATCATCAATAATGATGCAATGATTCTTTGTAACAATCGTAATCATTTATGGGTATAGGTAGAGAGGGTGATTAGGCAGATCACCATCCTGTGTTACCGCTCATGTTATTACATGGAAACAGTCCAACAAATGGGGACAACTAAATATTTTTGAATATAAAATTACAAAATCTCTTAGTGAAATGTAAGAATCATACAGTCAATACTTCATTTGCAATTACGTCAAACCCAACTGTTCCTTCTTCAAAATGTCAATCAATTGTTTTAGACTTTATTGTTCATTGGTTCCACAACCAATCCTTCTCCTTCAATACCGGACATTCAACTTTCGATTGCTAATACATACTACTTATATCTATCGACATCAGTAGCACACATCATACCAGTATGAATATCTTATCGGCATGAAAACGGGTTTTTTTTTGTGATCTGACTACATCAGATGGTGTAAGAGTGGGTGTATTAAAGATACAAATTGAGATAAAATTATGTAGGAGGAAGAAGATGAAGTAGATAAGTAAGAGTAGGTGTGAAACCAAAAGGAGGTGAAAGCTCAAAAGGAAAACAATATCGAGAGAGAAGAGTCCTACATGTAGACATTCAAGTAGAAGTCATATTAAAGTAAATAAGAGAATGACAAATGAAAATGAAAAAAAAAGGAGAGTATTTAGATTTACTAGTAGTAACAAAAGTTGTAGTATCAGTTTATTTGTTAAGCCCATATACTTTATTCTAGTTGCTGGCCAAGCCAATTCGCCTGTCATGATTCATATTTTGATCTTGTTCATTATTCGCTTATTAACCTTGGCTATACTTTTATATGAGCATATATATGTACACTTCGTATCTTATTCATCATATGTCTGTCACTCATTTTTGTCCGACTATAAATGTTGATTAACGCTTGCTTAAATCGAGTTGGCTTCCCAGCCATCACCAATACGCATCATCTTTCGCCTCGCTCTCGAGTTGGCTTCCCAGCCATCTCCACTGCATGTTATTTCCACCTCATTCACTTCCTTCACTTATTCACCTGTTCACTCACTCGTTATTATTCACTCAGGTGTTGCTAACTTTCTGACCTGAGTTATTCGACAATAAACTGTAGTTGCTGCTATCCTTTGTCTTCTGATTTTACGCGCCGTTAATATTAGAATTGTATCGATTATCGAAACGAACGATTAACGAATCGCGGCACTACAAAGTGATAATAAACGAAATTATCCTTTGATAGTAATGCCATATCTATACATACCAAACATTCATCTTGTTTACTATTTGAATTAATCATCTTTATTTACTTATTTAAACACATAAATTTTGGTATAAGGAAGCACCAGATATATATGCGCCACACAAATCTCATTTGATTTATGTAAGGGTTGTGATACTGTCCTAGTGCCCAAATTGAAGCAGATGGTTTTCTTAGAAAGCCACAACCGGAGCCTTTGACCTAAAGGTCTTGTTCACAAGACAGTGGAATATCGTAAGGAGATGCGATCCCATGATAGTCAGTGACCAAAGATTGATTCATACGCCATTTGTTCCCTCAGGATACTGAAGCCCATTTGCATCATTAGTTTGAAATGAGGGTTTTTTAACTCTTGTAGGTTTACTTTCCGTGTTCATTAACCCGGTTAAAGCGCCGGACATTCACTTTTCTTCCTGTCAAGTTCTTAAACAACAATAATGTGGCGAGAAGGCAGTGAATTTATTCAATATTATATTCTTAGCACAATATTAACTTCTAAGCACAAAGTATTTCAGCGAGTTTCCGTTTCCTATTTCTTCATCAACTATACTTACCCATGCTTTTCTGTACATTTTTATATTCTTACCCAATAGTCACTTCCTATGCTTCTTCTCTTTTGTGATTTGTGACTGTCGGCTTATACACATTCAAGTGTCGTCTTCTCCATGATCAAGTAGAGGATGTAACAGAAATTCACTTACACAATACAGATTCACGTACTTGATTACGAACCATACTAAGTATGAGAAATAGTGATATTATCCAATTATCCAAACAGATGTAGATATAGTGATGTTTGAGTCAAAGACTTATTGGCTGAAAATCTAACAGCCTAACACCTAAGTAAATGTTATATAATTCTCAGACTTCTAGTGTGAAGCTATGATCAATGGAGTTCAATCAATATCAGTTAGAGTCAGTTATCTATCACAGACAATGTAAGATGTTCGCAAGATTTAATAAAATTAATTAAATTCTGACTGTGTAGTCTAGAAGTTAAGCGTTCACGCACACAACAGAAGGTTCTGAATTCCAATCCCGCATTCAGTATCATGAATGTACACTGTCACTGAGGTGTCCCATACTAAGACGAAATGACCATCCTCTCCTTTATTTCGTTTCAACATACTTTCAATTTCCTTCATCATAACCTTTTCTAAATGTATATCCTTTTTTTCAGATTGGAAGATTACAAGATGCAAAAGCTGATCTTCTTAGATCTATTCAACTTGAATCAAAATTATCATCTGCCCATTGGAATATACATTTTATATACTTACTTGAAGGTAAAACAAAAGAAGCATTATATCATTTAGAACAATGTATGAAATATGCTAATATAATTGAACCAATACAAAATACTACTTATAATCATAATATAAGTAGTAGTACTACTACTATTAATACTACTGATAGCAGTAAAACTATAAGTAGTATACAAAGTTTCAATACAAATTTCAACCAGCTTTATTATAATATACTCAATTCAAAAGCCCTTATTTATTCTATATTGAATGATTCTACAATGGAAATGGAGACATGGACCAAACTGATTCATTATAATCCAACATATGAATTAGCTTATGAGAAAAGAGCTAATCTTTATCTTAAGGTGATTATGATCTTTCCGCTTTTTTTCTTTTTTTTTTGTTTGTTTTAATACACAGCCTTTGCTCCTCCACGAGGGGGTAACAGGCGTAAGTAAGTAAGTAAGTATAATATCTCTTAGTGATTAGGGAAGGTTAACAGTTGGTTGTTCATATACAAAGATATATAGAATGAGATTCGAAAAGCAGAATATAATTTTGATATGAGAAGGTAGTGAGTAGAACTTCCCTGGCAGTGGCTATATACGCGTGACCATATGCGAGCATTTCGAGAGGGTGAGAGAACTCTACCAACTCTTGGCCGTACCAGGGCATTTGGGAGCGGACTGCAATCGATCAGTCTCTTATTGGCATATATGCATATTGTGCGTATTATTTCTATATTGCTTTGATTCACAAGTATTATAAGCAAACATGGATAGTGGCTAACAGTGGGATTCAAGACCCGCATCTCGTCCTATTTGGAACTCGTCAGCTGGATGTACCTGCATCCCACAGTAGGTGTTTACTACAGCATTCGAAACAATTATCTTTCGCTTTAAACTCCATCTCGTTATTCACTTAGCTACTGAGTTCTGATAGCAATGGGGGGGAATGAAATGGATCAGTCTCTTATTGACATATATGATTACTGTGCGTATTGCCTAAACTAAATATCAACTGTGGGATGCAGGAAAATTCAGCTGACGAGTCCCGAATAGGACGAAATGCGCGTCCTGGACTCCATTGCTAGCCGCTATCCATTTTTCCAGTCTATATTTCTATGAAAAACATATTCTTTTGAATGTTTATTACATATAGGTATCTTTCATTACAAATTGACACCATCTGGGAAACAAGCAATGAATATCTGTTTATCAAGTCACTGTTCACTTTCCAATTTCATTATCAGTGATTCTCCTAACAATATTCAGTTGTGATACATACCAAATGTCTTGGATTATAGTGTAATTTAGTATAGAAGAGATTTAAATAGAAAAATTATTACAGCACATAGAGAAACTGTTAACGGGGACCCACTCTAATAGTGCTTGTTCTGCTCTCGTACACCTACACCTGCAAGTCCACGAGAACTAGCCATTGGGTCGCCAAATATACGGAGGGTGTATCTCGTTGGCTGTCCATTTTGGTGAGGTGAGGTCAAGTAAATAACCACACTATGATCCTGTATGCGTATTTCGGAGACACAGCATACGTCAATGGTACGAGATTCTAGGGTCTTAGCCAAAGAGGCCTATTGGCCGATTCGACATAAGGTATGTACGTTGAAGGCTCCAATGTGTAGTTCAGAGCGAGGTTTTAGTAGACCTGAGACAGTGTTTTGCTCAATGGAATCGTTGGTCATGTTGACACTTGCAGAGGAAATCGAAAGAGGAAGTTTAGTGTTAAAATTCGAGGTGGGAGGAACAATAGGGATTGAAGGAAATTGATTATGAATACAGTGATCTTGAGTGCTGTTAGAGGTATGAGAATGGTCATCACATTCCAAATGACCAAACCATGAATGGGTTCTTCTACAGGTACTTGGAAAAAAAATTGAGTTAGATTTGGTTTTAGTGACCTGAGAGCGTGACCGTAGTGACCAAGGTACAACTACTTGAGATCAGTCACACACGACCTTTTTGTGAGTAATTTTCGTGTTAGCTCCATACTTGTTGGGACCGTACCTCTGGAGACGGAAATCCATGGGGTAAGACGACGTGTACATTTCAAGGGTCGCCCTTTTCTAGGCCCACCCTTCCTTGTAAGAAGGCAACGTCGATATTATGCTGGTTGTATGAACGAAACACCTTACTGCCATTACACCTCTGTACAGTCAGCAGTACGACTTCGCCATCGAACCATGGATTTACTTCTTTCAATCTTACCGCTATTCAACCGACCTGTCTGGCATGGTAGGACCTTGAGGAACGATTATTTCGACCAGTATAGCTCGATTGGTTCATCACGATAAGCAAACCCGACCACTATGTCAAGGTAGCAGCAATGATCAGGAAAAAGTGGTAACTAGAATATAGCGTAACTTTCATATGAGATAAATGGTACTCAACATTATCTATTTGATGTGATCAAAGAACTCTATGATACTACTCAAATCTACTTATGCTTGTCTATTATCCTTTAGCCATAAATATTATTGCCTTTCTTATTTGTTTCAGTTAAAAATGTATCAACAAGCATATACTGATTTTATGAAAATCCTCTATTTAAATCCTAAATCATTCAATGCACAATTTCAATGTGGTTTATATAAATTCCATATGAAGTAAGTAAGATTTCCATTATTTTATTCACTTCCATTTTGTTGAAGCAGGAGATTAGGGAATGATGGTAAATCAGTTGATGAGGTTGTGAATCTCCATCGACTGAAATGGTTGAGACACGTGTTACGTATGCCCAACTACAAATTACCACGACACGCAATGTTGACTAGTGTTGGAGATGGTTGGAAGAAAGTTAGGGGTGGCCAAACCAAGATGTGGAATAAGTCATTGAAGTCACTAAACTCTAGTCTGCGCCATCTTGGAAGATGAAGACTACTTGGTTGGGGTCTGTGTGACTATCGTAATCAATGTTTTGAGACTGTGGTTGACATGCCTCAGAATCGATGACAATGGTCTAGGTGTACACACTCTCTGTCTTTCCTTAAACCATGAAATTAAAATTAGTTTATACCTTGCTTTCTACGAACTAAATTTTTTCTCCCTGTATCATATCGTTATGTGGAATCTTTTATATATTACTACTATTGAAGTAACTACATCTATGAATTCGGTGTTCATCTTGTTACGCCAATGAGGTGTGGCAACTTGAACTGATGCATATATGTGCCTGGTTCTACATTGTAGATGACTGACTGACTGACTACAGTAAGGCCATTACAGAACAACACAATATGGAATTTATTACCAGCATAAGCAAAAGCGATAGACATGTATGCATATAATAAGCGTTCGCGCGCGAGACCAAAGGCCATGGGTTCGAAATCAGCGAGTGTTATCGTGAATGTGCACTGCTGGGGAGCCCCGCAATAGGACGAAACGGCCGTTCAGTGCTTCCAGGTTTTCAATGCTGTTCTAAAATCATTTAGTTCATGATCTCAATCTCAAACATGGAAATGTTAGAAAAGAGTCAAACAACAGTTTGTACCGTATTATCATATTAATTCACTATAAGATAATAAATTAGAATAAGTTTTGTGGAGATTTTAGTAATTTTATCTAATTGGAATCATAAGTCGATTGAAGCTAGACCACCATGGTAATTCTGGCTCAATGGTCTGGTGTTTAAGCGTTCACGCGCGAAACTGATAGGTACGGGGTTCGAACCTCACGGGGCGGGATCGTGGATGCGCACTGTTCAAGAGTACCACAATAAGACGAAACGACCGTTAAGTGCTTCCAGGTTTTGGTCTGGCTTCAATCGACTCATAGATTCAACTATAAAAAGAAACAGTGATAAGATAAGCGTATTTCAACAGTTCGGATATGGTGTGTGCTACTGATGTCGACAAATATAAGTAGTATGTATCATCAATCAAAAGTGAAATGCCTGGCGTAATAAGGTGAAGATCAAAGAAAAGAGAGCAATAACAAAGAATGATTGCTGTGGAAACGAAAGAACAATGAAATGTGAGACGATTGATCGACATTTTGCTAATGAAGTACTTACTGTATGGGTCTCAGATTTTACTAAGTTCTTCTGTAATTCTATGTTGAAATATACTCGATTGTCCCCCCTTATGTCCTCGTTCACTACAGGGAGACTACTTTGAATAGAATGATTTTGTTATGACTGAAATTACATTATCTACATATCCAATTGACAATAACCTTTATTTTCATAGTTGAAATCATGAGTCAATTGAAGCTAGAACACCATGGAAAATCTGGAAGCACTGAACGGCCGTTTCGTCCTATTATGGGACTCCTCAGCAGTGCGCATCTACGATCCCGCATGTATATCCCTAAGTGCATAAGTGTACTGATAAGTGGTCTTTCGGTTAAGTGCTCTGGCGCGAGACTTGTAGGTCCTGGGTTCGAACCTCGTGAGGCGAGTTCGTGGATGCGCACTGCCGCTGAGGAGTCCCACAATAGGACGAAACGACCGTCAAGCAGTGCTTCCAGGTTTTCCATAGTGGTCTATCTTCAATTGACTCATGATTTCAATTATGAAAATACTGAATTCTCAAACAATTACCTTTATATTGATTACTTTCTTCTTATTCAATTCATTAGCGACTGGAGAAAAGCTATCACTTATTTTCAAATGGTTCTTGTACATAAGCCATCACATTATGAAGCAAGATATTATCTAGCTAGATGTTTAATAAAATTGTCTAATTATAATAAAGCTTTAGCTGAATTAACAGCTAGTCTTTATTATCAACCAATCTATTATAAAGTAAGTTTATGTAGTTAGTATAGATCTATTAAACAGTTCAATGATATATTCATAACGTTATTGAAGCATTCAGTCTTTTTAATTCACTTGATGTTGTTTATTTGAATCTTCTCAATGATGTTTAGGACTTCAATGAATCAGTCTTTTGTTGGCATCTCAGAGTGAACATAAACTTTGAGATGCAAGTATATCCACCTGACCAGTCCCAAGTAGGATGAAACGTGCGTCAAACTGGATTCCACTGCTAGCTACTGTCCATCTTCCCATTGATGTTTAGGACTGCAAATGATCAATCACTTATTGACATATGTACATACTGTGCGTAGATAAGTGGATAATGATGGTGAAATCCAAGACTCACGTCTCGTCTAATTCGGTACTCGTCAGCTGGATGTATCTGTATCTCAGAGTTGATGATCACTCCAGGCAGGACTCGAACCCAGTACCGATCGCTTCGAACGCCATCACATTATTCACTTCACTACTGAGTCCTGATAACCACTTGGTTGTGCAATGGGATGAAGTTTAAATTCACTTGATATTGTTTACTTGAATCTTTTCATTGATGTTTAGGACTGAGTGTCCTGGACTCGATTTCTAGCCACTATCCATCTTTACTTGTAAACGAATAGTCAGTTTCACATTCAAATTACTGATTTTGAGCCTGTCTCAAACACTGTATCACATTCAGTGACCTCATCATATAGATCACTACAAAAAAGTGTCATAGACTTCGGGACCGATTTTAATGATAAACTATGCCAACTTTAACACTATGAGATCATTGGTCAATTGAAGCTAGACCACCATGGAAAACCTGAAAGCACTGGACGGCTTTTTCGTCCTATTGCGAGACTCCTCAGCAATGCGGATTCACGATACCATTCCGCGAGATTCGAAACCCGGACCTACCAGTTTCGCGCGCGAATGCTTAACCTTTAGACCAGTGAGCCGACTGGCATCCAACGTTGTTTATCTCTAACTTCAACCAATCCACGAACTTGAGCAACCATTCACCAATTGTCTTCAGTGAGTTGATATCTGTCAACAGACCTAGTTGAACTCCACTGGTTACTGCACACTGCTGAGGAGTCCCACAATAGAACGAAACGGCCTTCTAGTACTTTCAGGTTTTCCATGGTTGTCGTCCAGCTTCAAATGATTCATGATCTCAACTATAGAAAACCCCTTTCTTCTTTAACACTATAAGTTCATCTATAATATGATCTAATTATTCATTATCATTGTTATTATAGGCTTTATTTACACGTGGTTGCCTTTTAACTAAAGCTTGTCCATTACAATCATTACGTGATTTAACATTATGTATATATATTGGTAATAAAAAATATCAAACTATGGCTTTAATTCAACGTGGATTAATCTTATATCAATTAAAAAAGTATGTTAATACATTTATCATTATACTACTCAATAAATTATCAGTAGATCGTTGTAAAGATTGGTAAGCAGAGATAGATAGTAGCTAGCAGTGGAATCCAGTTTGACGCGCGTTTCGTCCTATTTGGGACCCGTCAGATGGATGTACCTGCATCTCAGAGTTGATGTTCACCCTGAGACTCGAATCCAGTACCCTTGCTTCAAACGCCATCGCGTTATCCACTCGGCCACTGTGTCCTGATAGCCACTTGCTTGTGTGATGGGGTGAAGTTTAAATTCATTAAGTATTGTTTGTTTGAATCTTCTCATTGATTTGTTATAACTCCAACTGGTCAATCTCTAATTGGCATATGTGCATACTGTGCGTATTGCCTTGATATAGCCTTCATTCACAAACATGGTAAGCAGAGATCATGAATCAAAAGTACGCTGACCCAATAATGCTACTAATGCGGATGAAGAACTAAATTCGACAAATACTCTCAGCGATGAGATAGAGGAAGTTCAAAATACCATTGACAACCTCAATGAGTAAGCCAGTGAAGTGATCCAACAAAAGTTCAATAAGATGAAGTAACATCACTTTGAGAAACGCTGTGATCTGATTTCCAAGATCTTAAACCATTAGTTAAAACCAAGAAACACCCCACGCAGTCATTTTTCTTTTCCTTGTATGAGATAATTCAGAAGTGGGCATCTACACTCCGTCATGTGGGACTTGAAACCAGGACTTTTAGTTTCGCCCTAAAACGCTTAAGACCACTGATCCGAGACAGTGGTGTACAATTCTAACTTTAGTCAATTCATCCTATATTCTGTAGTCACCTTCAATTTTCTTTGATGGGTAACTGACTCACACTTGACACGTTTGAACTACATTAGTCAAAACTTCTCACTAGTACTCCTAGAATTTCCTCTCGAAGATGGCCATTAGTAAGGATATGATGATTATCAGTATAGGGTGTTGGAGATTGTTGAGTTTCATTGAAACCATGGGTCTTAGTTACGTCCACGAGAGTGTGAACGTAAACTAATAAGTCGTCTCATACCAGAACGAAATGGCAGATCATTGCTTCCAGATTTTCGATCGTGATCTTACATTCGTCGGTTCATGGTTCAAATATTACCGTATTATTAGGACTAAATGACTTTATATTTGTCAGAAGGATGTTTTTTGGGAATTCTTGTAATGTTATAATTGAAATCATGAGTCCATTGAAGCTAGACCACCATTCAAAACCTGGAAGCACTGAACTCAGTAAAGACAATGGTGGACGGTTGCTCATTTTCTTAGATTAGTTGAAGTTATACATTAACGCCGTTGAATGCCGGCTCAGCAGTCTGGAGATTAAGCGTTCATGCGCGAGACCGATAGGACCTTGGTTCGAATCCCTCGAGGCGGGATCGTGGATGAGTACTGCTGAGGAATCCCACATTAGGATGAAACGATCGTCCAGTACTTCCAAGTTTTCCATGATGGTCCAGCTTCAATTGACTCATAATCTCAACTAATAAAATAGTTATTAGCTTCTAGTCTCACAGAAAATATCGCCATGCATCTAGATGCATCTAGACGAGAATTGAATACGAAGGAGAAACACTCACCTTTTAGTTACTATTCGAAATACATTATATATATACAATATATTTCAAAGAAATATATAGGTAGCATGCTCTCACATGGCCACGCATATACAACCTCTGCCGGGGAAGTCCTACTCACTGCCTTCTCAAGGTATTACTATTGTTTACGAAATTGAGTTGACAACTTCACTTATCTAAGAAGTCTCATCAACTCAAATGTGTTGATGTCTAACGAAATGTCTGCATGGATTCAGAAAACTCATTTGGCTTTTGCCAACTTACATCACCTATATCTAAGGCGACTGAAATAGTTTGGCCACATGTTACTAACTATCTGAAAAACTCCTCTGATATTCATAGAATTTTCACTTTTCATAGTTTAACTTTCTTATGACAGAACAAGTAAACACCTTCTTCTCTTATTTTCTCTTTTTTTTAGATATAAAATGGCGCTAAATGATTTTCAAACAGTTTTAACTTATAATGTAGATCATCTATATACGGATATTTATCGTTTAATAGGATTAACATATATCCAATTGAATCAACCAAATAGGTATGTTTATGATTATAAATAATCTCTGTCTATGTATTCATAGAGCTATTGAAGTATATACAGAAGGCATAAATAAACAAATAATACCAAATATAAACATTTTATTATGTAGATCAGAAGCTTATTATCAATTAAATCAAGTAAGTTTATAATCTTATGTATAAGTATAGTTAAATAGTATTATTATACTTCAATGGGTAGAGTCAGCTTTCCTTCTCTCTCTCTCTCTCGAGAAATGCTTTCAAATGTCCACGAGTATACAACCACTGTCAGGGAAGTCTTACAGACTACCTTCTCGCAACGAGAATCGGTGCTTTCAACGTGAAATGGTCGGCCCCCGAATACCATGGTACGGCCGAGAATGGGGAGAGTCCGCTCTCTCTCTCTCTCTCTCTCTCTCTCGAAATGCTCTCAAATGGCCACTCGTATTGCGGTGTGGTCTACTTATATCCATATAAGTAGTATATGGTGTGGGTCAGACATAGAATGTATTTTCGCAGAAGACCGATGACGAAAGAACTGAAACAAAGCGCAATCGGTAGGAAAATGCACGAACAATGGAATTAGAGAAGAAACAGTGAAGATCGAGACTATTGGTTGTTAATTTGCAAATTGACTCTACATTGTATGGTTTTCCGAATTTACTGAGATAGTCTGTAATCTTTGATTAAATACATTCGATTGTCCCCCAGTCGTGTTCTGTTCACTACAGTATATAGCCTCTGTCAGGGAAGTCCTACTCAGTGACTTCTCATGGCACCGGTGTTGTTTACGAAATTGAGAAAACGTAAAGCGAATGTTCGGTGCTTTAGCCAGGTTTGTGGAAACAGAGAGTCCACCTAGAAAAGTAGGAAAATCCTGATTGCAAACTTATGATGCACATGGATTCCAGGACCCTAAAGAACATATGATGTATGAACTTATTGTTGATGACTGGCTATCATGGGACTGAGTCTTCTGACGTTGCTCCACTGCCTTGTTGATCAGGCCTGTAGGCCGAAGGCTCGGGTTGTGACAACCTAAGAAAACCACGTGCTTCGGTTTCGGCACCAGGACAGTATCCCAGCCCCCAAATAAATCGAAAGATTTGTCTAGCTCATGTGTATTTGGTGCCTCTTTGTACCAATGTTTATATTTATATGAAGTTTTGTGCTCATTCCATGAAATTAATTAATTAAAATAATTTGATATCAGAAAGGGTTTTATGCATATTATAGTAATTTTAATAGTTGAGATCATGAATTACTTGAAGTCAGACCACCATGAAAAACCTGGAAGCACTGAACGGTCGTTTTGTTCTATTGTGGGACTCCTCAGCAGTGCGCATCAATTTCGCTCAATTTCATGAATCAGTTGAATTCAGGCAATAACACCGTTAAATGCCAGCCGGCTCTGTGATCTAGTTGTTAGGCGCTCGCACGCGAGACTGATAGGTCCTGGGTTGGAATCTCGTGAGGTAGGATCTTGGATGAGCATAAGGAGTTTCAATTTCCGTATAGCTAAGGTTTCAATAAACCTTAGTATACATCCTTGAAGGCTTTTGTACAACACTACAAATGCTGACTTAATGTCAACCTTATGACCAGTTACAACTAAATGTTTCTCAATAGAGAAAAGTGTTTGTCTATTCTGTGATCTTAGTTGACCATTAGACTTCATTTGTTTCTACAGCCATTTGGGTATATGTTCCACCACCCTTACTTGCAGATCACGATTGCTCCTCCTTATGTACGTGTTTCTGCACATACATGTAAACTGATATATACAATGGAATGTGACACAATCGCTAATGTGCTATTTACGTTTTGGGTGAAACATTGACCTTGTCTTTTCAATGATGACAGGTTGAGCTGCATAAAATGTCCTTTTTATGGCTAATTTTAGTCTCCGTTTCAACATGAGACTATTTAAGTCACTCCTAAATGGTAATGTAATATAAACTAGCTTTTTGGGTGCCAGAAGCATCATAGGTTTAATCGTATTGCAATCCTTCCAGTGGTTTATAAACTTTAATGAATAACCATTATTCATTAACGTATCAGTTAAGAGATTCGTTTCTACTTAAATAGTATCTCTAGTACAAATACGACTGATTCTATTGAATAAGCCCTTTATTAATCCACGTTTGTAAGGAATTAGGCAGTGACTATGGAAATTAAGATATTGCCCTGTCCATGTCGGCTTTCTACATACAAAACGTCGGATAGAACCATGATCTCTGTTACTCATCAGTATATCTAGAAAAGGAAGTTTGTTGTTCTTCTCTTCTTCGCATTTAAGAGGAATATACTTTGGACTTGTATTAAGTTCATTTAACAAGCGATTCACATTTATTCCCTATAATTATGATGTCATCAACGTATCGTTTATGCTGACATATCTTTTTAATTAAGTCTTCAGCTAGGTTTTCAACATATCCCATAAACACATTACCCAGCAACGGTCCTAAAGGGTTACCCTTAGCTACGCCATCGATTTGTCGAAAGTGCTCACCCTCAAAAGTGTGTTTTACATTGTTAGTACACAATAGTAATCCTTAACATATTTTAACAGAAAATGGAGATGGAAGATTATTCAATGATATATAGTCCCAAATAAGACGAAACGCGCTTCAAACTGGATTCCACTACTAGCCATTATCCATCTTTGCTTATAAAGTTTGTGAATTCAGGCAATATCGAGGTATATATACCAACAAGAGACTGATCAATTGCAGTCCTAAATAGCAATGGGAAGATATAAGTAAACAACATCAAGTGAATAGATGATTATTAAGCAATTGATCAGTGAACGGTATTGAACGTCGTATTCTCCTCAGACTTCATAACTCATCCAATTTTATCGACGGCATTGTAGTGTGAATACCAATCTCAGTGTATCCTATATTGACTAATCTAAACTGTTGTAAGGCATGATTGACAAACTAATAGCTGATATTCCATTACAAAGTGTAATTATCTAAGTTTTACATCATTTACAAGATGAAACTTCATTTTCAGTATTAATTTAATGGTTGAACGTATATAAACCACCATGGAATACCTGGAAACACTAGATAGTCGTTTCGTCCTAGTATGAGACTCCTCAGCAGTACGGACTTACAATCCTGCCCAGGGGATTCGAACCCATTACTTAACGTTTTCGTGAGTGACTACTTAACCTCTAGAAGAGTACTGTACAACGACAAGGCGGTCGCTCAGTGCTTCCAGGTTTTTCATTGTGGTCTATCTTTAATTGACTCATGAATCTCAACTAAACCCCCCCCCATCTCTTCTTTTCTTAGTTTAACAAGGCAATATTCGATTTACAACGTGTCATACATTTAAGTCCACATTTAGAAAATCATTATTTATTATTTGCAAATTATTTGCATAAATTGGCAAATACTCAATTGGTTCAACGTTCTATACAACAATATTTAAGTTTAGCTGAAAGTGATAAGCATAAACAAGTTGAACAAATGGTAAGTGTATGAGTAGTACTTTGTTTATTGTTATTGTTATTTGAACTCATAAATATTGATACAAAGGAGTATAGAATACACATGCGCCACATAAGTCACTCGATTTATGTGTGGGCTGTGATACCGCCCTGGTGCCCAAGCCGAAGCAGGTAGTTTTCTTACGGGGTCACATCCGGAACCTTTGACCTAAATATCTGATCCACAAGGCAATGAAGTAACGTAAAGAGATGCAGTCCTATGGTAGTCGGTGACCAGAAATTAATTCATATGCCATTTGTTCTCTCAGAATACTGGAGACCATGTACATCATTAGTTCGGCAGTAGCCCCCGGAGGAGCTACAGGCGGAGTTCTACCTGTTCATCCTTTGAAGTTAATGGATGAAAAGTCATTTTTAAGCTTAAGGTGCTGATTTTATTAACTCTTATAATCTGGAACAATTGAACTCTGAATAAAATCATTAAGTGAATAAGCAGAGATGGATAGTGGATAGCAGTGGAATCCAGGATGCGCGTTTCGTCCTATTTGGGACTCGTCACTAGCTGGATGTACCTGCATCTCAGAATTGATGTTCACTCTGAGACTCGAACTCAGTACCCTCGCTTCAAAGGTATATCGAGGCAATACGCACAGTATGCACATATTCCAATTAGAGACTGACCAGTTGCAGTCCTAAAAACATCAATGGAAAGATTCAAACAAACAATACTAAGTGAATTAAGTGGATATATTGCACGATGTGCTACTTATGTCCATATAAGTAGTATGTAAATCTAATCATGAATAAAATACTTTACAGAAGGTTGAGAACACCGAGGAGGAAAGAAGAGGAACAGTGAGCAATCAATATGGAAATGTAGGATTAATCAAGTCTTAAACAATTTTGTGCTAAATATAATTGGTTGTCCTCACCTGTGCTCTCCTTCACTACAATATAATAGAAAAATTAACGGCAATTGGAAGGTACTTATGAAATCACCCGTAACTGTTGAATTTCAGTAGTATTTTAACTGATAAGCTCCAGAATAAGCATCGGAACGTAACAATGAATTTATCCTGGCAATTTGATGCATATTTGCTATAATTTTTAATCGGAAAGACTATAATTTATCAATGAACCAATCAGATTTAAGATAGCAGATCTTGGCTTTTGGCGCGAAATTCATCTTACTCATTTGACTTAATAGTATTTCGACATTTTAACTGAAATCAGTTCATGATGAAAATAATAAATTTAATTCTCAAACTTACTTTACTTACTTACGCCTGTTACTCCCAATAAAGAATAGGCCGCCAACCAGCATTCTCCAACCCACTCTGTCCTGGGCCTTCCTTTCTAGTTCTATCCAATTTTTGTTCATTCTTCTCATGTCTGTCTCCAATTCTCAGAGTAATGTGTTCTTTGGTCTTCCTCTTCTCATTTGGCCATCAGGATTCCATGTGAGGGCTTGTCTTATGACGTAGGTGGGTGATTTCCTCAAAGTGTGCCCTATCCACTTCCAGCGCTTCTTCTTGATTTCTTCCTCCACTGGAATCTGGTTTATTCTCTCCCTAATATTCAACTATAAATCCTAATCCTAATTCCTTACACTAATATATGATCCTTATTTAACCCTAGTAACTAGGTGAACATACTCAAGATCATTTTTGATGTTCCTCAAAGGTCATTCATTTATAGATTATAATCTTACCATTATCTGAAGAGGGTTTTGTGAAGATTTTAGTAATTTTTTTTATACTTGAAATCATAAATCAATTGAAGCTAGATCATCATGAAAAACATGAACAATAACATTGTTGAATGACGGCTCATTGGTCTAATGGTTAAGCGCTCACGCGCGAGACTGATAGACCAAGAGTTTAAATCTCGTTAGACTGGACCGTGAATGCTCACTGTTAAAGAATCCCACAATAGAACGAAACGACCGTTCAATGCTTCCAGGATTCCCATGGTGATCTAGTTTCAATTAACTCATAATTTCAACCATATATAATCTCATGTTTTTCTTTTTTTTTTCTTTTTTTCTTTTTTTTCTCTTATTTATATTCATTCATAGGCATTAGCATATTATTATTTGAATAGATATAAAGAGGCTGAAATAGTTTTATTGGAAGATTTAAAACATCAACCTGTATTCAATAAGACTTTATTACTTGGTCTTATATTAGATAAACAAAATAAAACAAAAGATTCCATTGAATTATTAATAAATAGTATAAATCAATTAGTAAGTTATTGAATTCATTAATGTACGTATATAGATCTATATGAATATGACATTATAAGTTGATCTTAGTTGAATAGTTGACTAGTATTTGATTACAAATGTCTTAGAACTATTGCTTACATCTTAAATGGGATCACTGTGTAAGTAATAGTGAGGTTAGACACAGGGTATTAGGGTTTGATGGTAAATTAGTTGAAGATAGTTTGGGTAACGTGTTACATATGCTTGAACATTGATTACCACAACGCGCTATGCTAACTAGTATTGAGGATGATTGAAAGAAAGTAAGGAGCAGCCAAATTAAAAACATGACATCAGTGCTTGAAGTTACTAACTTCTAGTATAAGCCATGTTAAAAAAATGTAGACTACTTGGTTGGGATTCACAAGATGATAGCAATCGATGGTTAGAGACTTTGAATGATATGGTTCAAAATTGTTTGTAATGGCGAAGGTGAATCCACTCTTTGTGTTCTCCCGAATTCTAATCTTCTGAATTCTTCAAGTCCCTTCCCTTTTTCTCTTTCCAAATTTATTTCACTGGATTATACTCCTTCAATAACATCTTCAAACCCTAATCTTTCAGAATACTGCTTATACTCTCACTACTTCTACCACTATGGGATTTAAATCGACAACTGCATCTCTGTGATAATTCGATATGTCAACTCGAATTTAACTGACTGACTGATACGTTCGAGAGTAGGAATAATCAGCTCTCTCCCTCGTAATAATCTCATACGGCCACGAGTATACAACCACTACAAGGGATGTCCTACTCACTGACTTCTCACGGCATTACTATTGTTTATGAAATTGAGAGGATGAAGAGTGAATATCCGCTGCTTTAACCGGGTTAGTGGACACGGACAGTTCACCTAAAGGGGTTGGAAAACCCTGATTCTAAATCAGTGATGTACATGAGCTTCAGGATCCTGTAGTAACAAAAGACGTATGAACCTATTGTTAGTGACTGGCTACCTTGAGACTACCTTATGAACTACACCTTTAGGTTAAAGACTTCATGTGTGACTTCCTAAGAAAACCATGCTCTTCGGTTTTGCCACCCGGTCAGTATCCCAGCCCTCACATAAATCATTTAATTTGTGTGGTTCATATGTATTTGATGCCTCCTTGTATCAATGTTTATGTGTATACATAAATAAGTTTAATCAGTTCACAATATTACATAACCATTCGGTTTATTTATGTAGAATTAGAAATGGAAGCACATAAAAGGAGATATATGTCGTAGAATGAAATAGAAGAATAGTTTAATTACTACCTACTTATTATACTTTGATGCTTAACGCTCGTTTCTCGATAAGTGTAGTTCATGAAGTGGATCAGTTCAGATGAATCAAGCGATTTCAATGAATATATAGGTCTTTTTAAACGTCAGTAATATAATGGCTATTCACTATCACGAAATGAAAATACCAAAAATAAATGTGATTACGTAACTATAACTGTTACGTCATAGTTTGTCATTACTCCACCCTATTCACTCACACCTTCGTTGTTGACCAAGCTTAGAGCCTTTAGCTATAACTGTTACGTCATAGTTTGTCATTACTCCACCCTATTCACTCACACCTTCGTTGTGGACCAAGCTTAGAGTCTTTAGCTATTGTATCCGACGATAATATTCAAAAGCTACTTATTCAAACTTCTGTATTCTCTATTTCTCCCGACCGTTGCTGCTGCCTTGACGTGGTGGTCGGGCTTGCCTATCGTGATGAACCAATCGAGCTATACTGGTCGAAACAATCGTTCCTCGAGGTCCTACCATGCCAGACAGGTCGGTTGAAGAGCGGTGAGACTAAAAGCAGCAAACCCAAGGTTCGAAGGTGAAGTCGTACTGCTGACTGTACAGAGGTGTGACAACAGTAAGGCGTTTCCTTCAGACAACCAGCATGACAGCGATGCTGCCTTCCCACAAGGAGGGGTGTGGTTAAAAATGGTCGACCCTAAAAATGCACACCTCGCCTTATCCCGTTTCCGGCGGTAAGGTCCTTTGAAGAACTGAGCTAACACAAAAACTACCCACAAAATGGTCGTGTGTGACCGACCTCAAACAGTTGTCCCTTGGGCACTGCAGTCACGCTCCCAGGTCATCAAGACCACTTCTAACCCAATTTCCTTTCCAGATACCTCTAGTAGAACCCTTCCACGGTGTGAGCAACCGGGAAGCGATAACTGACCTCATACCTCTAACAGCACTCAAGACTGATTCACTATTTCTTACTTCAGTAATATCTCAATCAGGTCTGACTTTATCATAGATGAAATATCTTTTCTTTATTATATAATATAGCGTTGTACAAAATCTGAGAAAGCAGAAATCTATAATCATCTTGGTCAATATTATATGAAAATAGGAAATTATTTATCAGCTATTCATGCTTTTACAACTTTCATTCAATCTAATCCTCATAGACCGCATGTAAGTATCCATGTATGTACATATATATTTGCCTGTTATTATTCGAATTTATCATTAATGAATGGAATATAGAATCCTTGATTGACTATCTCATAACTATCACACAACCAAATAGTTATCAGGACTCAGTAACTAAGTGGATAATGAGATGGCATTCGAAGTGAATGGTACTGAGTTCGAATCCTGACTGGAGTGAACATCAACTGTGGGATGTAGGTGCATCCAGCTGACGAGTTCCAAATAGGACGAAACGCGCGTCTTAGATTCCACTGCTATCCACTATCCATCTTTGCCTATAATTCAAAATCAGTTTAGTATAGACATTCTGTAGTCCATCTCCAAAATTAGTCTGTAAGGAAGGTCACTCTGTAGTGCTGAAGAGTCTCAAACTCTTCTGCGGTATCTGATGTTTACTGATTTTCAAGGTAACTTCAAGATGAAGTTAATTTTTGTTGTAAATTATCTTTCAAACTGAACAAGCTTCTACATATGTAATACTCTGTTTATTAAACTTTTTCACTGGTATATTTCGTCAGCATAGTGCAACAGATTAGAAGGAAGCTGTTTATAAAAAGTATTTGGAATCACTAGATGGACATTTCATCACTGTATGTTACGACTCAGTAATGTAGATTCGTGAATCTGTATGATAAAATCAAATACAGGACCTTCAATCTGGCGCTGGAATGTCTAGCCTCTAGACCGCTAAGTTGGGATATAGTAGTCCACAAGTCTAACTATGTGATTTCATTGGAACTCATTAATCTTCAAAACTCTATACTGAAAGTCATCATGTATTCATTAGTGACTAGTTTCGAGTGGAAATTCTTGGAGTTCTATTGAGAAATTGTGACTATTACAGTTCAACTATGTCAGGTGTGAGACAGACGCCCTCCTAAGACAATGGAAAGTGGTCACAGAATATCATGGAGTGATGGATGTTAGACTTGAACACTACTATGTTTCAAGTCAGCAGTCTAGAAGTTTTTCATTCGAGCACGAAACTAAAGATCAATTAAAGCGTAATGGTAAGTTTCATCAGTCGAAATCATTGAACTAAAATGATTCTCTTAGTATTGTTTGTTTGAATCTTCCTATTGATGTTTTAGGACTGCAACTGGTCAGTCTCTAATTGGCATATGTGCATACTGTGCGTATTGCCTCGATATAGCTTTATTTCACAAGCATTATGAACAAAGATGAATAGTGCCTAGCAGTGGAATCCATAACGCACGTTTCGTCTTTGCACAAGCAAGTGGTTATCAGGACTCAGTAGCTGAATGGATAATGCTATGGCGTTTGAAGCGTAAAGTACTGGCTTCGAGCCCCAGAGTGAACATTAACTCAGATGCAGGTACATCCAACTGACGAGTCCCAAATATGACAAAACACGCGTCCTGGATTCCACTGCTAGCCACGATCCATCTTTGCTTAAAATGATTCTATTTAAAAGTATATCATCATGATAATTTACCTCTTACTAATTCATTGGATTTTCAATAACTGAACTTTATCCATAAGGTTTACTTATATCGTGCACAATCTGCTTGCCGATTAATAGCTTTACAACATCAAGGAGAAACTATCTTACCAGACAATTTCAATGATAATGTACTAGACGATATAAGTCAAGCATTAGTATTGATCCATTCGAACAAGTCATCGGTTAATCCAATCCATTTCAATGGACCTATTAAATATGTTAATATCATTGATCAATGTTTATTGACAAGAATTATATACTTTGGTATAAATCAACGTTATACAAAAGCTATCCTAAATTGTAATGAAATTATTCATAGAAGACCAGAATGGACAAGAATATGGATTTATCGGTAATTGTTAAGTAATAACGCTTTAATTGATAAAATAGTTCATTGTTTCCAATTTTCCAATGCCGCCAAATGCCCTGGTACGGCCGAGAGTCCGCTCTCACTCTTAAAATGCTCGCACATGGCCACAAGTATATAGCCTCTGCCAGGAAAGTCCTAATCACTGGCTTCTTGTAACAGGGGTGTTGTTTACGAAACTGAAAGGACGGAAAGTGAATGCCCGGCGCTTTAACCGCGTTGGTGGACACGGAGGATCCACCTAGAGGAGCTGGAAAACCCTGATTCCAAACCAATGGTCCACATGGGTTCCAGTATCCTGAGGAAACAAATGACATATGAATCAATCGTTGGTCACCGGCTACTGCATCTCCTCACGATGCTCCATTGACTTGTTGATTAGATCTTCAGGTAAAAGGCTCCTGATGTGCGTCCAAAGAAAATCAAACAACATCAAATCTAGAACTAAGTTGATACTAATAGAGAATTTACATTTTAATTCACACTCATTAACAAAATCATCTAAAGGTTTCTTGTCCAAACACAACAAGCCTTTGTAAATCAGTTTATGAAAAACAGATATTATCAGAATGGGGATGTTATGCAGACTGTAGTAATGTAATAGTTGAGCACATGAGTCGTTTTAAGCTAGACCTTCATGGGAAGCCTGGAAGCACTGGATGACCGTTTCATCCTAGTATAGAACTCCTCAGTAGTACGCATCCATGACCGCATAAATGGGACTCGAACCTTAAATAAATACATAATTTTTATATAGTTGGGATCATGAGTCATTTGAAGCCAGACCATCATGGAAAATCTGAAAGCACTGGACGGCCGTTTCGTCTTATTATGGGACTCCTCAGCAGTGCGCATCCACGATCCTGCCTCGTGAGATTCCAACCCATGATCTATCAGTCTCGCCCCAGAGCACTTAACCGATAGATCACTGAGCCGGAATCTAACGGTCCCACAATAGGATTAAACAGCCTACCAGTGCTTACAGGTTTTCCATGGTGGTCTAGCTTCAATTGACTCATGTTCTCAACTATATAAAATTACTAAAATCTCCACGAAACCCCCTTCTGATTATTGTTTAAATATTGACTTTATGTATTTTTTTCCTTCCCTTTAGTGGTGTATTTAAATATTTATTAAAAACTTATGATTTCTGTGAAGCTGATTTGAATATAGCTATAGAAAAAGATCAAAGATCATCTTTAGCTTATTATCATCGTGGTTTATGTCATCAAATATATAATAAATGGGATGAAGCAATTGAAGTGAGTAAATTAATTTCGTAATATTGAACAGTCTACTTAAAAATATTTTCAGTAGTACAAAAATGATAAAGTTCAGGTTTTGGGGTGTTAGTTACTGTGCTAAGCCTATATAACTTATTCTAGCTTCTGAATAGACCAATTTATCCATTCTTCTTGAGTCACATTTTGACCTTTTTTCAAGTATTCACTTATCAAACTTGATTGTTTTTTTCATATGACGTATGTATGTGTACACTTTTATTCATCACACGCCTGTAACTTATTGTTAACTGACTAGAAATATAGATTCACGCTAGGTTAAATTGCACGTACCTGGGTAGCATCATTGATGAACAGCTATAAGGACGAGGATCCGCAAAGCAAGGACAGAAATCCTACAATTGTAGAACATATGAAACTCCAAACAACTGTCAACTAATTTCAAAGTGAGAATCTTCAATACGAACGTCAAGATAGTCCTACTGTATGGAGCTGAAACTCGGAGAAATACTATATCCATCATCAAGAAGGTACAAACAGTTATAAACAGTTGTCTACGCAAAATACTCGGCATTCTGTGACCGGATACTATCAGCAACACCGTTTTATGGGAGAGGACAAATCAACTTCGACCTGAAGAGGAAATTAGGAAAAGACGTTCTTAGTGGATGGGACATACATTGAGGGAATCACCAAACCGCATCACGAGACAATCGTTAATTCAAAGTCCGGAAGAGAACTAGAAACAGATATGAAAAGGATGAATGTTAACTGGAAAGAAGTGGAAAGGATTGCCTAGGACAGAGTTGGATAGAGAATGCTGGTGTGCGGTCTTTGTTCCTCGACGATGGGTAATAGAATTAAGTAAGTAAGTAAGTTGGCTAAATTGAGTTGGTCTATATGTCTTCTCCAGTGAGCGTCATTTTGTTTCGCTTCCTTCGCTACGTCTCTCTGATTGTCTGTTCCGATCAACGATTAAACAAAATATACGAATTCAAAACTTCATTCTCGTATTTGACTTATTTAATTCCGTCATTCAGTAACGCAATTTAAGTCGATGAAAATATACGAGGATAACTTGGATGTATATTTTGGTAGCAATCATTCGGTAACGATAATCACCCTATCAAACTGGAGTCAGATCTCCGGTCACTAAAATAAGTATAATGGGTAAGTTGTGAGTCAGAATTATTTCGGTCAAAACAACGTTTATGGACAACACTAAAGTGACCTTTAGAATGTCCTTCTACTAACCAGAACTAAACGAAGATTATATACCAGTGTGAAGGATTAGAATTATGATTTACACTTGATGGTTAGGGCTAGGAATTACATTAAGAGTTTTTATTACAAACTGATGTCAGGTATGATGTCAAAACGTTACTTAGCCAAATGGATGAATGAATTTCGCGCCAAAATCCTAGACCTATTTTCTTATATCTGATTGATTCGCACACAAACTATAGTTCCATCCTAAATTTCATGTTAAATAATGACCAATTTTATTTTTTTTTTAAACTCACGACAGACGTCGGACATTTGTTTAATGATAGTTACAGACACTTAATATTCTTATTAACCCTTTAAAGTTCATCCAAGAGGATTGAATTAATGATTACCATTACTGTATAATTAACAATTATGATTTTTTTAATAGATGAGATCATTAGTCGATTGAAGCTAGAAAACATGGAAGTACTGGACGGCCATTTCGTTCTATTGTGAGACTCCTCGGCAGTGCGCATTCACAATCCTGCCTCAAGAGATTCGAACTCAGGACCTATCAAACTCGAGCTCGAACGCTCAACCTGTGGACCACTGAGCTGGCCGGCATTCAATGGAATCCTACAATAGAACGAAATGGCCGTTCAGTATTTTCATGTCCATCATCTTTGGCACAGTGGTGTAAAGGTTAAGCGCTTTCGTGCGAAACTAATGGGTCCTGGGTTGGAATCTCGTGAGGTGGGATCATGGATGCGCACTGTTGAGGAGTCCTACAATAAGACAAAATGGCCGTCCAGTTCTTCCAGGTTTTCCATGATGATCTAGCTTCAATTGATTCATGATCTCAACTATTCAAATCATGATGTTATCGTATTTTTCTTTTTCTAATATTTTCATATTCACCTTTCTTTTTGTATTCGATCTTTAGGATTATCATTATGCTATTCAATATGGTACTTTATATGGATCCATTCAACTTTATAGTTTCATTAATAGATCTATTATCTATATAGAAAAGTATCAAGATTATCATAAAGCTATAAATGATCTATATCAAGCTAAAATGATTATGGATAAATTAATGGGTTGTACCTATGATCATGATAATAATAGTGAGACAACTAAAATGATCTCAGAATTATTGTTTAAACTAATGTATACCATTGGTATTTGCCATCAAAGGTAAGAAACTATTAAGATGGTTAAAATAATTTTGTACTCTTGTTAACATTCATGAAGGAGCAGAGGTCACTCACCAACATTCTGTATTCAACATTGTCTTGGACTAATGTTTTCCAGTTGCTATTCATCCTTGATGTGAGTGTAATCTTTGACCTTCCACTTTTCTGTTTCCCCCTCATGATTACAAGTTAGTGCTTACCTTATGATGTTAGATCGAAGGTTCTGGGTTTGAATACTGTGAGTGGATACTGCATACTGTTGAGGAGTTTCGTACTAAAACGAAAACGGTCATTCAGTAATTCTGGGTTTTCTTAAGTGATATAACTCTGATGAACTCATAAATTCAACACATTCAAAGCATATTTTAGGATAAGACATTTGTAAAGATTATTGAATGCTCAAAGTTTGCATCATGGATTGAAATTAGTTAGTGAACTACTGAAAATGTGAGAGTACTGAACAGCTGTTTTGTTTTAATCCACTTAGCATTGTTTGTTTGAATCTCCTCATTGATGTTTAGGACTGCAACTGTTGAGTCTCTTATTTAAACCTCACCTCATCGCACAAGAAAGTGGCTATCAGGACTCAGTAGCTGAGTGGATAATGCTATGGCGTTTGAAGCGAAAGGTACTGGGTTCGAGTCTCAGAGTGAACATCAACTCTGAGATGCAGGTACATCCAGCTGACAAGTCGCGAATAGGACGAAACGCGCATCTTGGATTCCACTGCTACCCACTTTCCATCTTTGCTTATCATGATAGGTCATAGGTTCGAATCTCGTGAGGCGGTACCGTGGATGCGCACTGCTGAGGAAGAGTCCCACAATAGGACGAAACGGCGATCCAGCACTTCCAGATTTTCCATGATGATCTACCTTCAATTGATTCATGACCTCAACTATTACAATGTTCTTATCATGTCCCCTTTTTGTTTACTTATTCTATTCTTACTATTAGACTTGACATGTATACTGAAGCAGAACAGATATTACATCAATTAACCATTCAACAACCAGATTTTCTAAAAGGACATATTGCCTATGCTAATTGTTTAATGGATTATGAAGGATATAATATAAAAATGGGTATAAATCATTCAATGAATCTTTGGAATCAAGCATTAAGTGTCTATGAATTTGCTTTAAAAATGGATGAATTAAACTTGGAAGCTAGTATTGGTTTATCAATGTGTTTGCAGGTAAATAGAAAGTACATTTTTATAATGATTTATGTAGGTAAAGTCAATGTAATTACTTACTTACTTACGCCTGTTACCCTTCGTGGAGGAGTATAGGTCGCTCACTAGCATTCTCCATCCGACTCTGTCCTGGACAATCCTTTCCAGTTCTTGCCAGTTGTTATTCATCCTTTTCATCAAGTCAATGTAATGACTAGGAAGATAACAATAGTGGATGGAGAATAAGTTAACAAAACAAAAAGATAACAATGGAAAGATACAAGTAAACAACACCAAGTAAATTTAAACTTTACCCCATTACACAAGCAGGTAGCTATCAGGACTTAGTAGCTAAGTGGATAATGCGATGGCGTTTGAAGCGAACAGTACTGGTTTCGAGTCCTGGCTAGAGTGATCAGCAACTCTAGGATACAGGTACATTCGGCTGACGAGTCCAAAATAGGACGGAACGCGCGTCCTGGATTCCACTGCTAGCCACTATCTATCTTTGCGCACAAGATGCACATATGCCAACAAGGGATTGATCAATTGCAGTCCTAAATAACAATGGAAAGATACAAGTAAACAACACCAAGTGAATATTTATTTAATAATTGAATTCATAAGCCAATTAAAGCTGGACCAACATGGAAGCACTGGATGGCCATTTCGTCCTCGTATGGATCTCTCTAGTAGTGGGCATCTATGATCCCACCTACAGTCATCCAGTGCTTCCAGGTTACCCATGGTGATTCACCTTTTATTGACTTATAAACTTCTCTATTTAATCGCCGCTTAACCATCTTCTAATAATGATTATAATACTAATATTGAGTAAACATTTGTTTGAAAACATCATTCAAACGGAACGAATAAATCTTAGAATAGAATGTATAAAATAAATAAGGAATATGTGGTACTGTTGTGATGAATGCTACTGATGACTACAGATATAAGTAGTATGTATCATCAGTTCAAAGTGAAATGTCTGATGGTAGAAGGTTAAGAGGATCGAAGATTGATTGATATGGAAATGAAGTAACAATAAAGTCTGGAACAGCTGATTGATATTTGGCAAATGAAGTATTTACTGGATTGTTCTCAGACTTCACCGAGATATTCTGTAATTACTTACTTACGCTTGTTATCCCTGATGGAGGAGCATAGGCCGCACAACAGTGTTCTTCACCCAACCCTGTTCGTCATATGAGTCCCGGATAATGTTGACAAACTTCTGAGGAACTTCGTAGTGTCGAAGATGTTTCCATAATGTTCTCCTGTCCACACTGTCAAATGCCTTCTCATAGTCAATGAAGATGTATGGTGACAAATTTTACTCAACTGATTGTTCCACGACGATCCGTAGTGTCGCGATTGGGTGTGTGCACAACCGATTCTTACGGAATCCAGCCTGTTGAACTCGAAGTCGAGCGTCTACTACGTCTTGCGTCTAGCTCAGTAACACTCTATTGAAAACTTTTCCTGATACTGGCAACAAACCGATGCCTTTGTAATTCTCACATTTGCTCAGATCTCCTTCCTTTGGTATCTTTATGAGGTATCCTTCTTTTCAGTCTGTTGGCACTTGTTCCTCCACCCGAATCTTCTTGAATAGAAAAAGAAACATGCTTGCTGTTATTTTGATGTCTGACTTCAGTGTTTCAGCTGGTATATTGTTAGGTCCTGCCGCTTTCCTGCTCTTGATTTTTTTGATGGACATCTTGACTTCTTCGATCGTTGGTGGAGGTCCGTGTGTGCCCGCCACTAAGCATTACTTAACATTTACTTCTCTTGAGTAGAACAACGAGTCTAGCAGATGGCTCTTCTGAATGTCTGTTACATATATCATATCCACATTAGTCATATTGTTTTCTACATTAAAAAGTTCTGTAGTGTAAACACTTTATGATTCAGTGAGTACTTAATAAGAGTAATAATTATCTATCTATCTACTTAGTGGTCTATCGATTAAGTGTTCTGGTGCGAGACTGGTAGGACCTGGGTTCGAATATGGCGAGGCGAGATCGTGGATGCGCACTACTGAGGAGTCCCATAATAGGACGAAACGGCCGTCAAGCAGTGCTTCCAGGTTTTCCATGGTGGTCTAGCTTCAAATGACTGATGATTTCAACTATGAAAATATACAATGATATTCAACTTTAGATTCATTCAAAAGATAAACAATTCACTCCATGAGCTCTTAGCTGATTAGATAGAATCCGAGAACAAATAAACGTTAAATACTTTAAGGCAAATTGAAATATTTTGAATGTTATTTGTCAGTCAGTCAGTCACAACGTAGAACTTCGTAGGTACGTACATCAGTTCGAGTTCCCATATCACATTAGCATAGAGATGAAGTTGTCGATTCAAATCCCATAGTGGTAGAAGTAGTGAGAGTATAAGCATTAATGTGAAAGATTAGGGTTTGAAGATGTTATTGAAGGACTATAATCCAGTGAAATAAATTTGGAAAGAGAAAAAGGGAAGGGAGAACACAAAGAGTGGATGCAGCTTCGCCATTGCAAACGATTTTGAGTAATGTCATTCAAGATCTCTAACCATCGATTGTTATAATCTCGCGAATCCCAACCAGTTAGTCTACACCTCCCAACATGGCTCAGTCCACTTGACATTGACTTCATGAATTTGTGTCACGTTTTGTTTTGACCGTCCCTAGATTTCTTCCAACCTACTCCAAATTCTCCAAACTTCAACTTATGCTTTACTTAATAGACTTTTATGTTTGTTCAACTGATTCAAGTAAACAACTAATACATCCTGACAATCGATACTGTAATGAAAAATCTACTGTGAAACATATTATATCTTACTACGTCTGTATGGAATCGTTTCAACTTTCCATTAATTCTTAATAAGCGGATACTTAGTAAACATTGAATAGTTTCTTCCTTCTTCAAGTTGACCTAGCCTTCTACTGTCAGGGTTTTGACTTGTCATTGGTGTTACATACTAATGGAGTGAAAAGCAGTATGGTCAACCATATTGGTATACGGCCGAGAGTGTTGAGAGTCAACGCTCCCTCTCAAAACCCTCTCATATGGCCACGTACATATAACCAGTACAGGAGAAGTCCTACTCACTGCCTTCTCGCGACATTACTGTTATTTAAGTAATTAACAGGGCGAAAAACGAATATATGGAGCTTTAACCGGGTTGGTAAACACAGAAGGTCCACCTAGAGGAATTGGAAATCTCTGATTCCACATCAATGGTGCACATGAACTCCAGGATCTGAAGGAAACAAATGGTTTATAAACCTATTGTTGATCACCGTTTACTATGGTACTATATCTTTTTACGTTTCTCCATTGTCTTGTGGATTAGAACTTTAGGTCAAAGTCTGGTAGAGTGATCCTTTAAGAAAACCACCTGCTTCAGTTTGGTCACCCAGACAGTATCCCAGTCCTCGAATGATTTATGTGCCGCATATCTATTTGATGCTTCCTTCTACCAAGGTTTATATGATAATACATACCTACTACTTATATCTGTTAACATAAGTAGTATACACCCCAGTTCTTAAATTTCTCTAAAACTCTTAATTCCTTTGACAAAGCAATTTATAAACAATTGAATTAACTATTTATCCCTTTCACAGTATTGAAAATAATCATAATCACAACAGCAACTATAACAATGATAAACACAATAGTGCACGCAAATCAAAGTCTCATCTATAGGAAATACTTAATCTATTTCTATCATAAATAAATAACCCCTTTATACTAATGATGGGAGATATACATTAGATAGAATATAGTAGCCAAGACAACAAAATGAATAATAATCATAATCATAATAAGAAAGTATCAGTTTGAGTATGATGAGTTCATAGATTGTCTAGAAAAAACAATAATGAACTAAGGGGGGGGGGCGGAATATACTATTTAACTATAAACTGAAATGAAACTTTCGACGACGACGACGACAACAACAACAACAACAAGGAGGAAAAAAGAAGTTTATTTAAACAAAATAAATAAATAAATATTGTTGTTTACTTGTATCTTCCTATTGTTATTTTGGATTGTAATTGATCAGTCTGTTGTTGGCATATGTACATCCTATGCAGACTACCTTGATATTGCCTGAAATCATAAGCTTTATAAGCATTGATGGATAGTGGCTAACAGTGAAATCCAGTTTGACACGCGTTTCATTCTGTTTGGGTCTCATCAGCTAGATATACCTGCATATCAAAGTTGACGTTCACTCTAAAACTCAATTGCAGTCCAAAATAACAATGGGAAGATACAAATAAACAACAACAAGTGAAGATATCTTCATCCCATTGCACAAGCAAGTGGCTATCAGTACTCAGTGGCCGAGTGGATAATGCGATGGCGTTTGAAGTGAAAGGTACTGAGTTCCAGTCTCAGAGTGAACATCAACAAATCTGAGATGCAGGTACATCCAGCTAGTGACGAGTCCCAAATAGGACGAAGTGACGCGCGTCAAAATAGATCCCACTGTTACCCACTATCCATCTTTGCTTATAATGCTTGTGAATTAAGGCTATATTAAGGCAATACGCACAGTATGCACATATGCCAATTGGAGACTGACCAGTTGCAGTCCTAAAACATCAATAGGAAGATTCAAACAAACAATACTAAGTGAATTTAAATAAATATTCATTCGTTGTTGTTGTTGTTTACTTATATCTTCTCATTGTTATTTTGGACTGTAATTGATCAGTCTCGTGTTAGCATATGTGCATCCTATGCGGAATACCTCGATATTGCCTAAAATCATAAACAGGTTGTTATCAGAACTCAGTAACTAAATGTATAACGTGATGGCATTTGAAGCAAACGATACTGGGTTCGAGTCCTGGCTAGATTGAACATGAACTCTGAGATATAGGTATATTCCGCTGACGAGTCCTAAATAAAACGAAACGCACGTCAAACTGGATGAAACTTAAGTGTGCAGTTATTTATTTACAAATCATCCATGTAATGTAAATAATAAATAAATCAATAAAATCAACAATAATATTACTATCAGAAGGGGTTTTGTGGAGATTTTAGTATTTTTATAGAGTTGAGATCATGAGTCAATTGAAGCTAGACTACCATGGAAAACCTGGAACCACTGGACGGCCGTTTCGTCCTATTATGGGACTCCTCAGCAGTGCACATCCACGATACCGTACTCGCGAGATTTGAACCCAGGACCTACCAGTTTCGAGCCGAAGCCCTTAACCGATAGACCACTGAGCTGGCATCCAACGGTGTTAATGTCTAACTTCAACCAATCCACGATTTTTTGAGCGACCGTTCACCAATTGTCTTCAGTGAGATGATATCTCTACAACTAATAGGTCCTGGGTTCAAATCTCGCGAGTACGGTATCGTGGATGTGCACTGCTGAGGAGTCCCATAATAGGACGAAACGGCCGTCCAGTGCTTCCAGGTTTTCCATGGTAGTCTAGCTTTAATTGACTCATGATCTCAACTCTATAAAAATAATATTACTATTATTATTATTTACAGTAGTATATCACTATGGGTCATATTTTATTTTTTTATTTTTGAGGGATACGCCTGTATAGATACCTGAAAATTGTTTACTAATTCAATTCGTTTATTCATTAAATATAAATATATAGACAAATGAGTTCATATCACTATGTGTGTATATATATACGTAGATACATACACACACACTCACGCACACACACGCAAAATGTACTATCCTAACTGAAAATATTGATATTTACTTGTTTTGAGAAGGAATTTAGTGAAGATTTCAATATTTTTCATAGTTGAAATCATAAGTCAGTGGAAATTAGATCACTATAGAAAACCTGGAAGCACTGCTTGACGGCTGTTTCGTTCTATTATGGAACTCCTCAGCAGTGCGCAACGATCGGATGCCGGTCTAGTGGTTAAGCGCTCTGTTGCAAGATTGGTAAGTCCTGGGATCAAATCTCGTGAGGCGAAATCGTGGATGCGCACCGCTGAGGAGTTCCACAATAGGACAAAACAGCCGTCCAGTGATTTCAGGTTTTCCATGATTGTCTAGCTTCAATTGACTCATAATTTCAACTTTGAAAAATATTGAAATCTCCACATAACCCCTTCGGATTACAACCATATGCACACTAGTGACTGACTTCAAGAGATATTTCCTGGAGTTCTATTGGGAAGCAGTAACTAGTGGAGTTCAACCACGTCTGTTCTGAGATATCAATTCACTGAAGACAATTGCTGAACGGTTGCTCAGTTTACTTGTTTATTCTAACTTGCTCACTTATTGAGTTCTCTTATTAATACATAAATATCATTATGTTTATAGACTATTTTTTCTAATGATGATGATGGATGCTCATTCCTGAGGCGTCCTACGATAGGACGAAACGGCCGCCTAGAGCTTCTAGGTTTTACATGGTGATCTAGCTTCAAATGACTCATGATCTCAACTATTAAAGTTTTAAGTTAGTCTAGTCAAATGTGTTTTAAAACAAACAAAAAAAAGGAGATTAGGTAGACAATAGCTTTGAATGCTTCCTTGATGTAGTGTCTAATTAAGCTTCCAAAACAAAACTATATTCGTAAGGAACATTCAAACGGTTAAAGCTGGATTGACACTATCATGTTTCTCTGTCGATCTCTAACTGAGCGATCTCTGTTACTAATACTGAGCCTGTCAAAAAGCTGTAAAACAGTGAATTATACAGTTGGAAAACCCTCATTCTGAACCAACGGTGCATATGGATTTCAGGATTCTGAGAGAACAAATGGCTTATAAACCAATTATTGGCCATCAGCTACAATGGGACTATATCTCCTTACGTTGCTCTATCGCCTTGCGGATCAGACCTTTAGGTCAAAGTCTCGGGGAATGGCCTCCTAAGAAAACCAAGCTCTTCAGTTGGAGAACTTGGATAGTATCACATTCCTTACACAAATCAAGTGACTTGTTTGGCGCATATGTATCTGGTTCTCCTTTGTACCAATAGTTATGTGTTTGAATGAATAACAAATAAATCATATTGCGTTCCATTTTAATTTGACCTTCAGGTTTTAGGACGTTTAAATGATGCATTAAAACAAATTACACATACTTTAAATATATATTATGATTATCAAGAATCTAATTCTAATGAATTCATTGATAAGAAGCAAAACCCGTCATCTAATAATCAGAATAGAATACTAGCTGATGCTTATGATTGTAGAGCTATTATATATTTACAACTTGGAAGACCACAATGTGCTATTGATGATCTTACAGTGGCAATTCGTTTAAATCATTATTCTGCAAAATATCTTGTCAATCGTGGTGTTGCATATTTTCGTAATCATCAATTGATGCCTGCTATGATTGATTTCAAGTAAGATATACATTATAATGATTTGATTCATATATAACTTCATATTCAATAGATGCTTTTAATAGTTGAAATGATGAATCAATTGAAGCTAGACCACTATGGGAAACCTGGAAGTACTGGATGGGATTGTGGGACTCTTCATCAGTGCTCATCTACGATCCCGCTTCACAAAATTCCAACCTAGGACCTGTCAGTTTCGCACACGAGTGCTTAACCTCTAGACCACTGAGCCGACTGGCATTCAACGGTGTTAATGTCAAACTTCAATCAATCCACGAAATTGAGCGACACATCCACCATTGTCTTCAGTGAGTTACTATCTCACAACAGACCTGGTTTTGAACTCCACTGAACACTGCTTCTCACTAGAACTTCAAATAAAAGTCTGTTGACATGGACTTTAACTAAATCATTACAAGTTTTAATTAAAAACTCTAACCTTTGAAGTTAATCAAGTTGGATTTGAAACAGTAGGTCATTTATGATATTCAATAAACACCCCCATAAGTCAACTCAGAGTTGATCAATCTCCAATACAAACGTTTTTGTTTATTATGAATAGCCCTAGCAACTAACATTACCTACTATGAGATTTTGTACCAAAAAGGATACTGTTTAATAAATCATCAAGAAAATGGGAAGCACTTGTCAAAAAAGAAGTAATACTTGTTTTAACATAATAATGCCGTAAATTTAATTCCTAGATACAAACAGGAATTTTTCAAAGACTTACTTACTTACACCTGTTACACATGGAGGAGCATAGGTCACCCAACAATATTCTTCATCCAATTATGTCCTCGGTAATCATTTTAACTTGTTATTCATCATTTTCATGGATGCTTTCAATTGTCAAAACAGTGTCTTCTTTGGCCTTCCCCGTTTCCGTTTTCGTTCAATATTCCAAGTTAGTACTTGCTTCATGATGCAGCTCGATGATTCCCGAAATGTATGTCCTATCAACTTTCAACGTCTTTTCCTAATTTCCTCCTCATCTGTAAGCTGGTTTGTTCTCTTTCATAGTAGGCTGTTGCTGATGGTATCCGACGAACAGACACTGAGTATCTCGTGTAGACAATTGTTTCCAAATACTTGTACATTTTTGATGATGGTTGTGGTAGTTCTCCAAGTTTCAGCTTAGTGCAGTAGAACTCTCTTGATGTTCGTATTCAAGATGCTCATACTGATATTGGTTGACAATTGTTTTGATTCCTATGCGCTCTTCAACTGTAAGAATGCAGCCCTCACTTTGCCAATCCTCAATTTACGTCTATATCAGATACTTCCTGTTCATTGATGATACTGACCAGGTACGTAAATATTTCCACCTCTTCCAGAGCTTCTGGATCAATTGTGGTTGAGTTGTCGTTCTCTGTGTTGTGTTTGGGGATCTTGCTTATTCTTTTATGTATGTTGAGGCCTACTGATGCAGAGGCTGCTGCTACACTGATTGTCTTCATCTTCATTAGTTGATGTGTATGGGATAGAAGGGCCAAGTCATCTTTCAAGTCCAAATCTTCTAATTGATTCCGAAATGTCTATTATAACTCGTGCTTCCTCTCAGATTTCGAGGTTTTCATGATCCAGTCGTCCACCATCAGAAGAACAAGAAATGTAGAGAATGGGCAGACTCGTCTGACTCCGATTCTCATTTGGAATGTATCTGTCAACTGTCCTCCATGAACCACTTTGAACTGTAATCCGTCGTATAAATTCTGGATCATGTTGACGATCTTCTCAGGAACACCATAGTGTCGGAGAAGGTTTTGTAAGGTTCTCTTATTCACACCTTTCTTTTCGTCCCATCATATCATAATAACTGATGTTGTCCATTCCGACTTTGTCGTTTAGGCCTCCCATCAGGATTGTCAGATCCTTTTCTGAAAACTTCGATTTGATCGACTGCAGGCTGTTATTGAACTGATCTTTATCGCTGTCGTTACTATCAATGGTGAGTGCATAACTTCGGATAACATAAATTATGATATCCTCGTTGTTTGTTTTGAAGGATGCTTCGATAATCCTGTGTCCATGAAGTTTCCACCCAATATGTACATTCTTTAGATAGCATCAGAGCAACTCCCTGAATGTACAGTAACATCTCTCCCAAATCTAATTTTTTGTGTTCAGCTTTTTTCCAATGAATTTCACTTAGTCTACAAACCGCCTAGTTGTATCTACTCGTTTCCATAGTTATTCGATCGATCTAGTGATTAGCTCCAAGATGTATTTCCTTGAGTTCTAGTGGGAAGCAGTGATTAGTGGAGTTAAACCAGAACTGTTGTGAGATAGTAACACACTGAAGAAAATGGTGGATGTGTCGCTCAATTTCGTGGATTGGTTGAAGTTAGACATTAACACCGTTGGATGCCGGCTCAGCGGTCTAGTTTATTTATTTATTTAAACACATAAATATTGGTACAAGGAAGCACTAGATACATATGCCCACACCCAGAGCCTTTGACCTAAACGTTTGATCCACCATGCAGTGGAGCTTCGTGAGGAGATTCTTTCTCATTGTATCCGGTGACCAACGATTTATTCATACGCCATTTGTTCCCTCAGGATACTGAAGCCCATGTGCACCATTGGTTTGGAATCAGGGTTTTCCAACTCCCCTAGGTGGAATTTCCGTGTCCACCAACCCAATTAAAACGTCGGACATTAGCTTTTCGTCCTCTCAATTTCGCAAACAACATTAATGCTATGAGAAGTCAGTGAGTAGGACTTCCTTGGCAGAGACTATATGCGTGTGGCCATGTGAGAGCATTTCGTGAGGGAGAGCGGACTCTCCCCACTCTCGGCCATACCAGGGAATTTGGGGGCAATGGTCTAGAGGTCAAGCGATCGCGCTCGAGATTGATAGGTCCTGGGTTCAAATCTCGTGAGGCGGAATCGTGGATACGTACTGCTGAGGACAAAACGGCCTTCCAGTACTTCCACGTTTTCCATGATGATCTAGCTTCAATTAATTCATGATTTCAACTCTATGATTATTATATATAATACCTTATTATACTACTGAATTACACTAAAAAACTTTATTATTAATTCTATTTAAAGAAATGCAATACAACTTGATTCAACAAATCATTTAGCTTATTATCATCAATCATTAATTTATTTACATCATGGACAAATTGAACAATCTGAAACTATAATTAATATACTACTTAATTATAATAACCAATCAATATGTTTAGATCCAAGTTCATGGTTATTACGATCCATTATTAGATTGATCAAATATCAATCAAAGAATAGTGATCGTCATCATCATCATCATAATGATGATGATGGTGATCAATTATTAAAAGAAGCCTTGAATGATATCCGTCAAGCTGAACAACTTATCTTACCTAAATTAAATGATCAATTGACATGTTGGCCACATTTACATTATACTAAAGGACAAATTTTATATCAATTAAAGAAATATAAAGAAGCTGAAGAAGAATTTACAAAAGGTAAGAAAGTTTTATGAGTATGGATTATCGTTATGATTCCATCTGTAACTCTTCTAGAGTGACTGACGGTCTTAAGCCCAGGGTATAGGAGGAGGATTGAGCATTGGGTTAGTGACCCCATCTCGTAGAAATACTAACTCGCTAAAAAACGCTAAACAGAAAATGTATATAATATATATAGTTGAAATCATAAGTCAATTGAAGCTAGACCACCATGGGAAACATGGAATCACTGGACGGCTGTTTCGTCCCATTGTGGGACTCCTCGGCAATGCACATCCACGATCTTGCCTTGAGAGATTCGAACCCAGGACCTATCAGTCTCGTACGCGAGCGCTTAACCCGTACACCACTGAGCCAGATTACATGCAACCGTGTTGATGTCTAACTTCAACCAATCCACGAAATTGAGCAATCATTTCATCAATGTATTCAGTGAGTTGATATCTCCCAACAGACGTGGTTTGAACTCCGCTGGTTACTACTTCTTACTAGAACTCCAGGAAATACCTCTTGGAGCCAGTCACTAGTGAGCACATGATAAATATTATCTTTATAAGATTTGAAAATCTTTGGAAATCATGGTATGTTAAAACATAGTTTTATCTTAAAGATGAATAGTGGTTAGCAGTGGAATCCAGTTCGACGAGCACTTCGTCCTATTTTGGGACTCGTCAACTGGATGTACCTTTATCTCAGAGTTGATGTTCACTCTAGGACTCGAACCCACTATCGTTCGATTCAAACGCCTTGTCTTATTTGTTATATGATCAGGGACTATATTTAAGACTTTTAAATATTTAAGTATGTGAATTAAATGTAGATTACGCAAACAGGGATGTTAGGCAAGGTTGCTTACTCTCATCCTTTCTCTTTCTCCTGGTGATCTACTGGATCATGAAGACGTGAAAATCTGGAGAAAAGCACGGGATACATTGGACAACTAGGATGCAGCTAGACGATTTAGACTTCGCAGATTATCTAGCTCTTCCATCACACATGCAACAACAAATGCAGGAGAAGACGAACAGTGTAGCACTAGCCTCAGAAGCAGTAAATCCCAATATAAACAAAGCGTAAAGCGAGACTCTCCGATACAATACAGCATACATCAATGGAATTACACTTGACAGAGAAGCTTTGGAGGATGTGAAAACCTTTACGTATCTGGGCAGCATCATCGATGAACGCTGTGGATTTAATGCAGATGTGGGGGCGAGGATCGGCAAAGGAAGAGCAGCATATCTACAACTGAAGAACATCTGCAACTCAAAACAATCTTCAATACAAATGTGAAGACAGTTCTACTGTATGGAGCAGAGATGTGGAGAACTACGAAAGCCATCATTTAGAAGATACAGGTGTTTATTAACAGTTGTCTACGCAAGATACTTCGAATCCGATGGCCAGACACTATCAGCAACATTCTACTGTGAGAGAGGAAAAACCAGATTTCAGTGGAGGAAGAAATCAGGAAGAAGCTCTGGAAGTGGATAGGATATACATTGAGGAAAGCATACAAATGCGTCACAAGGCAAGCCCTTACATGGAGTCCTGAAGGCCAAAGGGAAAGTGGAAGACCAAATAACACATTACACCAAGAAATAGAGACAGACATGAGAAGAATGAACAAAAATTGAATAGAACTAGAAAGGAAGATCGAGGAGAGAGTGGGCTTGAGAATGCTGGTCGGCGGCCTATGCTCCATTGGGGGTAACAGGCATAAGTGAGTAAGTATTCAGTCAGGATCTGACAGTGTACATTCTAAATTTTAATCTTTCATTTAAATTTCTTTGTATTGTAATCGGAATTGTACATCAATTTAGTTATTAGATAAGTATGTTCAATAAACAGTCAACTTATTGAAGGAAAGTTTATAGTCTAATCAATCTGCTCAATATTTCTACCTAAAACGCTATGTCTAGATTCAACCATTATCATTTGTTAGCTTCATTATATATCAAGCCCCAAAATGTCCTGGTATGATAGGGGTTGGGGAGAGTCTGCTCTTCCTCAAAAAATACTCTCACATGTCTATGTTCATACAACCACTATAAGGAAAGTCCTAATCATTGCCTTCTCGCGGTATTACTGTTGTTTACGAATGTTCGATGGAGTTGGAAAGCCCTCATTCCAAACAAATAGTACACACGGGCTCCAATATCCTGAAAGAACAAAAGGCGTATTAACCAATCATTGGTGACCAGTCACTATGGTACGATATCTCCCTACATTCCTCCACTCCCTTGTGGATTAGATCTTCACGATCAAAGTCTCTGAGAGCAACCCCTACTTCAGTTTGGTCACTCGGAAAATATCCTAACCCTTACACAAATCAATGATAACTATTACTAGTCTCATTGTTATTATATGTTGCATATAGATATATATATATGAGTTTTCTTTATTAACTTAATTATCATTATAATCTTTGTTATTCATCCTGATCATATCAATCAGGGTAACGAATATTAATAATAATAATAATAATAGTCAATGATTTCAATTGTCTCGATTTCTTCAAACCGTTCCTAAATTCTATCAAATGAGGAATACATTTTGCATAAGTGCATACGTGAGTACGTACGTGTATGTGTGCGTGCGTGTGCATGCGTGTGTGCATACATGCGTGCATGTGTACTCATTTCTATGTTGCTATGATCGTTCCCTCTCTCTCTCTCTCTCTCTCTTTTAAAAAAAAAAACAATAAAAAGGGGGGATATAATATTGGTTTATATAATTTCATACTTATATAGATAATATATAAATTAACGTGTATGTTAATAATAATATACGCCCTAATAGAAATGAATGAATTTGCTTATTATCGTTAGTTTCAAAATAAACAGATAAATGATACTTTCATGAAACCGCCCTAATGAGTTGAAAAAAAAAAAAAAAAAAAAGAAAAATTCGATAGATTTACTTATTCGGTAGAAAAAATGTTCAGTTATTAAATTTTCATTTTTTTTTAAAAAGGACAACTCAAAGATGTTTGAAACTTGCGAGATCAGATCGTAGATGTGCATTGCTGAAGAGTTCTACAAAATAAAGTGAAACAGCTGTTCAGTGCTTTCAGGTTTCTCCTTGATGATCTAGCTTCAATTGAGTCATGATGTTCATATATACATATGCGTCGTACAAGTCACTTGATTTGTGTGTAGGGTGTGATACTACCCGGGTGCACAAATCGAAGGGGGTGGTTTTCTTAAGTGGTCACACTTAGAACCTTCGACGTAAAAGGTCTAATACAAAAAACAATGGAGCAATGTCAGGAGATGAAGTATCATAGTAGCCGGTGAACAACAGATAGTTCATACACCATTTTTTTTTCCTTCAGATCCTGTAACTCAAAGATGTTCCAATCTCACAAGGCGAGATCTTGGATGCGCACTGCTGATGAGTCCTATAAAATAGGACGAAACGGCTGTCCAAGTTTTCCATGGTAGTCTAGCTTCCATTGACTCATGATTTCAACTTTGCTTTGAGACAAGTAAAACAAACAATAAACATGAAATTATTGTATTCATGAATGTAGAACACTTTATGCAACTACTATCATAGACTATATTCTATCAGTAATCTAGGTTATTAGATAGTCTAAGTTGGTAGTTTAGTGTTATAGAGTGTTTGACTTCAAAACTGTACATTATTGATTCAAATCCCATTTCACTTCTTATAAATATTGGTACAAAGGAGTACAGAACACAGACGTGCCACACAAGTCAATTGATTTGTGTATGGGATGTGACACTAACCAGGTTCCTAGACTGAAGCACGTGGTTTTCTTAAATGGCCACACCTAGAGCCTTTGGCCTAAAGGTCTCGTCCACAAGGCAGTGGAGTAACGTAAGAAGATTCAGTCACATGTTAGCCGGTGATCAACACTAGGTTCATACACCAATTGTTTCCTTCGGATCCTATAACCCATGTACACCACTGGTTTGGAATAAGGGTTTTCCAACTGCTCTAACTGGATCCTCCATATCCACCAAACCGATTAAATCACCGAATATTCGCTTTTCGTCCTCTCAATTTCGTAAACAACAGTAATGCAACGAGGAGTCATTGAGTAGGACTTCCTTTGCAATGGCTGTATACTCGTGGCTATAGGAGAGTATTTCGAGAGAGAGAGAGAGAGGGCTAACTCTTCCCACTCTTCACCGTACCAGCCCATTTGAGGGCACTTCACTTCTTAGGTCTAGGCTGTCGGATATTAACACTATTAAATACACCTAAAACATTCAAGAAATAAAAAGTCCAACACACATAAAAACTGCTTCCAAATTATCACTGCAGCCTAGATTGTCAACTAACTGTATTACATCTCTATTAAGAGTAATATTAGACGGTACTATGGTTGTTTCATCTTTGTTGTCTTTAAAATGATAATTAATTGTAATGATAGTTAGAAATAATCATTATAAATATTCATTATGGACTGATCGTATTTCATGTACCATTGAAAACTAAGAAACACTGAACATCTATTTTACTGTGCTACAAAACTTTTCTGCTTTGTCTATTAATGTATTCATCAGGAATCGAACTCAGAACATCTAACTACTAGGCTAAGCGTTTGCGCGTGATACCGAAGGTTCCGGGTTAGAATCCTGCAATTGGAATCGTGGGTGCACACTGCTAAGTAGTCCCATACTGGGACGAAACAGCCGTCAAGTGCTTCCAAATTCTCAATAGTAGTCTAACATCAATTGATTTATGATCTGGATGAAAAATTTAGCAATCTCCTTTACCCCATACTGATGGTATAATTTTATATATAAATCACAAACCCTTGTGATCAAAATTGTTAACAAGCACAAAAAGATTAGAATTCACGTTCTAAACAATTAGACTTTACAATTGATTAATCACTGGATGGTGATCAATGTCATATATGTCAGTGCACATCGAATCCTATCGACCAAGTTGTAATGTGGCCACCAGTCTAGGTGATCACCACACAGTGATCAATCAATTTTAAATACATCTCAGTCCAATAGAATTCAAACGTGCCCCGGATAGCTCAATGATAATGTCTCTAACTGTGAAGCTGGTTGACACAGGATCGAATCTGTCAGGGAGTATTAGTCCCTTCAAAATTACAGGTACATCTTGCTGACGAGTGCCAAGTAACACGAGATCTAGGTTCAAGGTTTCCTGTTGATTACCTCCAATCGCCATCTGTGCTTCATTTAACTATGCTTAACAAATTTCTCTTTTTTTGTATTATTTCTTCTAGCTCTCAGTTTGTTACCATCCAATAAGTATTTCTATGAAATACGTTGTAAATGTCGTGAAGAAATGTATCGTACCGGTCTGAGTAACTCATATGAAAATGTATTAACAGATTATCGTTTATCACTTTTGGCTAATGATTGTACTATCTAATAACTTCTAATTGATACAATTATATATACTTATATGATACATATCTGGGTTCTTTCTTCTTTCAAAAGTTGATATATACATCTGTGTATACATCAATGCGTATTGAGTTAGACTATCATGAAAAACTTGGAAGATGGTCGCGTTCCATTGATTGAAGTTTAACATGAATATGGTTGGATGCTGATTCAGTGGTTTGGTGGTGGTTAAGCATTCGCTCTCGAAACCAAAGGTCTTGAGTTCGAACACCGTGTACGGGATCATGGATGAGAACTACTGAGAATTGCCGCACTAGAACGAAACAGTCGTCCAGGTTTTCAGGGGTTATTTCAACATTGATCAATTCATGATTTCAATCAAAACTTAATGATTTCCACAACCATATACTGACAATTATTATGTGCTTATTGCTATTAGAAAGGTAATGACTGCAGAAATTATGGGCTTCAATATCCAAAACAATAACCGAATCATTATTTTTAAAATTAATAATATTGTTGAGCCACAGGTTTGAAGAATCCTAAAGGGAAGGATGCGAAAACTTGTTCATAAATGTGGGGGTAGGTGACCGGATATTTACCATTAATCAATCACTAATCAATTCGGAATATCTTACAAACGGAAGGTCAATAGGTACCCAAATACCTTGTTCATAACGTCTCCAACTGTAGAGCAGGATGTTATGTGATCAAATTCTCTGGAGTGTACAAATTTCCTCAAAGTTGAAATACACCCTGTTGAAGGATGATAGTGTTAGCTAACACTCTTAAAACCACTTAACATAGTCCACGTAATGTTGGGAGACCAAGACTACCATCCTCACTGTATCTTGATCGATAGGATTCGACGGGCAAAGTATTATTCTCACACAAACACATACACAAAGCTGCATGGGTCTCACCAGATCACACCACACACAACCACATCGATCACATCTGTGTCAACAAAACATTAATAAGATACATGAACGACGTGAAAACCAGGAGAGGAGTTGACAGAGATTCAGATCACCATCTCGGTTGAGATCCCGCGGGTGGTGTCGTGGGTAAGCACTGCTGAGAAGTCCTATACTAGAAAAAAACGATAGTCCAACGTTTTCGGGTTCTCTGTGGTGATCTATCTTTAATCGACTCATAAATCCAAGTATTAGACTTTTTTCATTTGAGGATGGTGGAGGATATTTTCATCAAAGACTGATATTTAATGTGAAAATATTAAAACATTTAAAAGGCATTACATTGAAGTTCCATCTTACGTTGAAACAACTAAACAGTATTTTACTTCGATTTCAAAGCATTCGACAAATGTTGTATGACATTTTTATCTAACTATTATTCAACATTTGATGCTGACCATATTTTGTTTTAATGAACTCACCTAGCTGAATGCTCTCGGTCATGTTTCCTCATCAGATCATGAGTGGCTGTGTAGTGGTCAATTTCTCATACAACCGCTAGCCAGCTTAGATCACTCTGCCCCCGAATGCCCTGGTACGGCCGAGAGTGTGGAAAGTCCGCTCTCTATCTCGAAATGCTCTCACACGGCTACGCGTATATAGCTTCTTCCAGGAAAGTTCTACTCACTGCCTTCTCACAGCATTACTATTGATTATGGAATTGACAGGATGAAAAGCGAATGTCCGGCGCTTTAACCGGGTTGATGGACACAGAAAGTCCACCTAGGGGTGTTGGAAAACCCTAATTCCAAAACAATGGTGCACATGGGCTCCAGTATCCTGAGGGAATAAATGGCTTATAAATCAATCGTTGGTCACCGGCTACCATGAGACTGCATCTCCTTACGATCCTCCACTGCCTTGTGGATCAGACCATTAGGTCAAAGGCTCCGAGTGTGGCTCCTTAAGAAAACCACCTGCTTCAGTTTGGGCACCTGAGCAGTATCGCAGTCCTCATACAAATCAAATGAGATTTGTGTGGCGCATATATATCTGGTGCTTCCTTGTACCAATATTTATGTGTTTAAATAAATAAACAAATAAAATTAGATCAGTCAATTCTCAATATATCGATAGCCTATCAAATATATCTTCGAATCTTTTCACTCTTAACTTTTGATTTCATTCGTTGGATACGCTTCGATTATAGAAGTTGTTACTGATTAAAGGTATTATCTAACTCCAATTATTTATGACACCGTTTATCACAATGTTATATTTAATAATTGAAATCATGGGTCAATTGAAACTAGATTGGTAGATCCTGGGTTCGAATCTCGCTCACAAGGTTGGATCGTGAATGCGCACTACTTAGGAGTCCCATAATAGAACGAAACAGCCGTACAGTGTTTCCAGATTTTTCATGGTGGTCCAGCTTCAACTGACTGATGATTTCAACTATTAAAATACTGAAATCTCCACAAAACCCCTTCTGATGTTACATTTAGCCTAAAAAGACTAAGCAAATAGAATACTGTAGTACATTTATAATAAGTGTATTCTTGAATAATGATCATACAAAAAACACACGAGATATAACCTGCTCGTTAAAAAAAAGTCACATTTGATTACTTTAACTTGATTATCATCCACATATAACTCCTGACTGTAACTCTTCTACAAAAAAAAACAATCTATTGCCGGTTCCAAGCCCGGATAAAAAAGGGAGAACAATTGGGGGTTGGGCATAAGGTTGACAACCTTCCTATACTATCAATAACAACAAAAAAAAGGTAGAAGAAGAAAACGCTAACCATTAAAATACTAATGCATAGTTTGAATATCCTTTCAATGTAATACATTAAGTTGATTCTATTATTATTATATATATATGGGAATCTCAATACAATAAAGATCATAACATTAAAAAAACAAAAGAAAACTCCACCAAAATCATCCACCTCAGCGACATATCTCCAGCATCTCAGAAGAAAAGTCTGCCAAATATCAATTCAAGGAACTAACGAAGCTAAACTTTAATAAGCAACAAGAAAAAAGAAAATAATGGTAATAATAATAAGGAAGGGGGTTCCTTAATAAACATATCTCCCCCCCGCCCTCTGTAAATTGACCAAATCGTTTCTTTTTTGTGTATTTTGTTTGTTTGTTTGTTTGTTTGTAAATACAAATGAACAATCTTTATAAATAATTTTTTTTCATCTAACGAGAAAAAAAGAAAAGAAAAAAAAGAGAAAAACCCATTTGGATACTAAAAAAAAACCAAAAAAAAAGAAAAGAATGAAATATTCCGTATCTCATTCTTTCATTTCCTCATGTTGATATGTGTATACATTGTATGTTCTTATTGGTGGTGTTGGTGTTGTTAGTGGTTGTAGTGGTGGTGGCGGTTTTGTTGTTGTGTCTTTGTTGTTGTTGGTGGTGGTGGTGGTGGTAGTTTTGTTGTTGGGGGTGATAGATTATTTGTTTTACTGAATTCACTGTTTAATATGTTTATTATTTAAATTAAATAATAACAACAACTACTGATTATCAGTAGTATAATGAATAATAGTAGTAGTATATAGAGTAGTATTTAAAATAAACCGCAATCTTTTAAATTTGATTTAATAATTACATCTATAACAGCATCAAATACAACTCTTATATTATTATTATCAGTAGCACATGTAAAATGTGTATAAATTGTCTTCGTGGTTTTTCTACGATTTACATCTTCAAATTTTTCTCGAATATAATTTGATGCCTCTTCATAAATTTGTCCTCCGGTATATTCAGGAAAACAAATTGTCAAGGGAGATTTTTGTATTTTTTCAGCAAATAAATCTTTTTTATTTAAAAATAATATAATACTTGTTTCAACAAACCATTGACTATTACATATAGAATCAAATAATTGTAATGATTCATGCATTCTATTAGTTGTTTGATCTTCAGCTAATTTTAAATCATATTCTGACATAGCAACTATAAATAAAATAGCTGTAACACCCTCGAAACAATGTAACCATTTTTTACGTTCAGCACGTTGTCCACCTAATAATTAAAAATCAATAATAATAATAATAATAATGATAGTATTATCAGTAGGTGGGGGGAGGAGGGTTATAGTTATTAGATAGAGATTTTATATAGTTCAGATCATGAACCAATTATCCTATTAAGAGACTCTTAAGTAGGGCGCATCCATGATCCCACCTCGTGAGATTAGTACCTAGGACGAAACGATCGTCCAGTGCTTTCAGGTTTTCTATGGTAGTCTACATTCAAGCGATCCATCATCTCAACTATCAAAACAATAATATTATTACTACTACTATTAGTTGTTTGATCTTCAGCTAATTTTAAATCATATTCTGACATAGCAACTATAAATAAAATAGCTGTAACACCCTCGAAACAATGTAACCATTTTTTACGTTCAGCACGTTGTCCACCTAATAATTAAAAATCAATAATAATAATAATAATAGTATTATCAGAAGGTGGGAGGAGGGGATTTATGGATATGGTAGTAATTTTATAGAGTTGAGATCATGAACCAATTATCCTATTAAGAGACTCTTAAGTAGGGCGCATCCATGATCCCACCTCGTGAGATTAGTACCTAGGACGAAACGATCGTCCAGTGCTTTCAGGTTTTCTATGGTAGTCTACATTCAAGCGATCCATCATCTCAACTATCAAAACAATAATATTATTACTATTACTATTATTATTATACAATAATATCTACTTAATATACTACTTATATCAATATAAGTAGTATACAATGTCTGGCAATAGAAGGTTGAGTAGATCGAAGAGGAATGATTGAGAACAGAAATCAGGAATAATGAAGACGATTAAATGACATTTTACAAATTAAGTATTTTACTGTATAATTCTCAGATTTTACTAAGATATTCTGAAAATTTTAAATCTTACTTTAGTTCTCTGTTCCCTACAATCTGTGAGGATTTTGACGTCGGTTGATATAGTACTCCTATTTGGAAGTTACTGATTAAAAATCTATAGTCAAATCCTTGTTAATGATGTAATTTGAAATTAACAAATTGTAGCTGCAAATGAAATATATTACCAGAAACATTCATTTACATTAGAGGTGATACGGTCAACTAACAGTCAGAACTTGATACAGTCTATAGATAATATCGCCCTGTAATAAGGTCTATAAATCTTGAATTCTACCTTTAAAAAGATCATACATATGTAATACTATAAACGCAGAAATCATTAAAAAATTAAGTGGCTCCTTGACTGATGTCAGTGGTGAGATAATAATTTATGGCAAACCTTTGAACAACAGTAAAGTGACCTTTATAAGGCACACTTACTTATTAGAGCTAAATGAGGGTTATTAACCTGTGGAGAGAATAAACATTCTGATTTACAGTTGATGATTAGGGTATGAAGTTAGATTTAACGTTTTTTTTATAACGAACTAACTTCTATTAGACAATCACCGAAAACCAAAAAGGATATTTAATAGTTATTTCTACCTAGAACGGGAATTCTTAACTTTGTTCGCTAATAGACGCTCAGGAAAACTGAGAATCTGATATATAAAGGTAGTCAGAAAGGAAAACCGATTTACACTCGAGACTACTTGTACGAGTCTATGCGCTATTGGTCCGGTCTATAAATCACTTCTCTAATTAATGCTATCATTACTTTTATATATAAAATAGGGTACCAGGACATAAGTTTTAACATTTTTTCAAAATCGGAATTCAAGATTGGAGCACTTGTATTTGAAATTATTCAAATATAGTTGAAGATCACCGTTTGCTTTAAAACAAACCTACTCAGTATAACATCAGTAAATTAGAAGTGTAACCACTGACTGTCCCAAGCCCGGTTTAAGCATAGGGTCGGTAACCCTACTCCGTACAAAACAACCTTGCTAAAAAATCGTTAAACAGAAGAGATAATTAAGAAAATATGTTGGAAATGAATGGGAAACATATTGAGGAAATCATCAAGCTGCATCACGAGGCAAGTGCTAACTTGAAATTCTGAAAGGAGACAAAAAAGAACAAGACCAAAGAACAGACTGTTTCGGTAAATGGAGTCAGACATTAAAAGAATGAATAATGAATGGAAAGGCTTCTCAACGACAGAATTGGATGGAGAATCCCGATGAGTGACCTATGCTAATCATCTTCACAAATGGTAACAGACAATAAATATTGGGTTCCAACCCTACCATACATACATTGCTTTTAGAACTAAGATGGTATTGTAGTGAACGAGAACATAGGCGGAGACAACGTCTTAGTAAAATCTATGAATCATACAGTAAATACTTCATTTGCAAAATGTCAATCAAGTATACCACACTTGACTCTTCCTTCATTTCTACACCTAACCTTTTCTGTTCTCATTCACTTCTCTTCGATCTTCTTAACTTTCTGCATCAAGGTATTTCATTTTCGATTGATGATACTACTCATATCTGTCGATATCAGTAGCACACACCACACATTCACACTTATACATACTTGCAAATGAAATAGCACTAAATGTTCAGATAGTTAATTACAATTAATGAATAGTCAGTAGTGATAATAACTTTACTAACGACTAATTACTTTAATAATATGATCCATTTTTTCCTGAGATTTCCCTCCAATAGTCTGAATATTTTTCTCGTTAGCGTTTTTTAGCGAGTTAGTTTTCTACGGGATGGGGTCGATAAACCCCATGCCCTACAATCCTCCTTTATCCGGACTTGGGACCGGCAGTAGCCCCCGGAATAGCTACAGGCAGATTCTGAATATAACAAACACTAATTGGAACAATAAGTTAATATCAAAAAACGTAGATTAAAAAATACACTGCGTCGGAAATGAGAAGCAGACATGAAAAAGATGAATAGCAACTAGAAACAAGTTGAAAAGATTGTTCAGGTCAGCGTTGGATGGAGAATGTTGGTGAGAGGCCTATGTTCCTCCACGAAGGGGTAACAGACGTAAGCAAGTAAGCAATAAATTGAATTTCAGGTATTTAAGAACGTTTTACTCTGAAAAAATAGTTCTTAATAATATTAATGTATCATTGAATTTCTCACCCAAATTATAAAATGAATCATTGATCTTTCTATTTGCAATCATTTTTTAGAAAAGAATAAACTTATTATTATAAGCGAAGATGGATGGCAGCTAACAGTGGAATCCAAGACTCTCGTTTCATCCTATTTAGGACTCCTCAGCTGGATGTGTCTGCATTGTACAGGTAATTGACTATCAGGACTCAGTACCTAAGTGAATAATGTGATGGCGTTCGAAGAGAACAGTACAGGATTCGAGTCCTGACTGGAGTGAACATCAACTCTGAGATGCAGATACATCCAGCTGACGAGATCCAAATTTGACGAAACGTACTTCCATTACTGGCCACTATCTATTTTCACTTATAATGCTTGTGACTTCAAGCAATATCGAGACACTCTACACGATATGCACATATGTCAATAAGAGACTGATCAATTGTAATCCTAAACATCAATGGAAAGATTCAATTAAACGATATCAGAAGGGGTTTTTGTGGAGATTTCAGCAATTTTATAGTTGAAATCATGAGTCAATTTAAGCTAGAACACCATGGAAAACCTATAGGCACTGGACGATCCTTTCGTCCTATTGTGGGACTCCTCAGCAGTGCGCCGTCCAATGCTTCCAGGTTTTCCATGGTGGTCTAGCTTCAATTGACTCATGATTTCAACTATGATATATATATATATATATATATATATATATATATATATCAAAAGAATGATATTATTCATTAGTAAGTGTTGGAATCTTCGTCTTGTTGATGTTAAGGACTAAATTTTGATCAGTCTCTACTGGTAGATGTTCATCCTAAGAAGATTGGTGAATCACTGCTATTAGATCACATATATTGTTTGAATTTGGATAGTGTGAGTAAACATTAAATCTACGATGAACATTTTGTCATATTTAGGACTTATCAGAAGGATGTAACGGCATCCTGAATCTGTATTAGTGTTTACTCCTTAACTAAAAATCACTATCATACACTTCAAGAAACTAATGCGGTGACCACTGACTTACTGAATCCAAATAGTCATCGACTTCTGAAGCAAGAATAATAACAAGGTAAATACATCAAGAAATCTACTATTAACCATTATCCTAATCTGACTAGAATAATGCTTATAACTTTCTAACTCTATGGTATTAGGTAACCCAAAAATATACAGATTACTAAAAGAAGAAATAACTGATCCTATTACAGGTTACATAATCAATAACCAAAACTAATCCAGTGAAATACTATAAAAATTTATTCTATTTCTTTCTTTTTTGTATTCACTCATTTATACATATATAACACGATGGTGTTTGAAGTGAAAGGTACTGGGTTCGAGTCCCAGAGTGAACATCAACAAATCTGAGATGCAGATACATCCAACTAGTGACGAGTCCCAAATAAGACAAAACGTGCATCAAACTAGATTCCACTGTTAACCACCATCCATCTTTGCTTATCATGCTTGTGAATTAAACCTATATATCTAGGCAATACACACAGTATGCACATATATATGTCAATAAGAGACTGATCAGTTACAGTTCTAACAGACAAACAATACTAAATGAATTTATTCCCTTATAGTTACAACTCTGTATCCAAGGTATACATACACTGATATATATATATATATATATATATATATATATATATATAAATGAAAAAAGGACACTTTTTGGGCTAAACCTATTTCATTTCATGGATATAAAGTCAATCACCAAAAAGAAAAAGAAAAAAAGAAAAGAGAAAAGGAAAAAAGAGAAAAAAGAAAAGAGAAGATTGAATGAATTCACACGGATTGAATGACAATTACAAAATGGTTATTGTATATCAATTAACAATGATATACATGATCACTATAGTAAATGAATAAATCAATGACCCATATTTATCTCTGATGAATAAACAACAACAACAACCAGGACAACAACAAAAAGAGAAACTATCTGTAAAGTACGAATAATAAGTTTTTTTGT